ACTATGAAAACACAGAAGTATACTGCTAACGCATGTCCGTGGTCACAGTTGCCCACATGTTATTTGTGAAGGTTCATCACCATTGTGTCTAAAAGAAAATTTATCATTGAACCAGTGCGTCACCTCTGCTTCGCAGAGGCTCGCACTGGCTCTACTATCTTGGCCCTATTCATTCTCGCATAATGATGGCATTGGAACTCACCGAGCAAGGTTAATTATCACGAACAAAATATCAACAACTACTCATTCATAAAGCTTTTTAATGTGAATCGGTGATTTCGCATGGCTGAGACATTTACAGGAAAACAAACGCAAATTTTTCAATGTTCTTGGTTTTCAAATGGTTTTGACACTTGCAATAAGAACAGCAGCCACTGTGAGCTACATCTTTATGCAAAAATCTCGTCAAATGTTCTGGTAAAAGCTTGGCAAAATGACCATTTACGCAACCAATACTTTTTTGGCGCCGTTTCTGTAAAGAAATGACTTTTGATCACTTTTTTGGGCCTACGTTCATGGCTTGCATATTTACGTGGCATAAATATCCACGACTCTGCAAAAAGTGGAATTACGGACCCAATCTTGCGGCTCAAATGCAAAGTGGTTCCGTTTAGCTCGCAGTTTCTGCGGGATCCACTCAACGAATCTGCTCGTGCTTTTGCATGTTGGACTTTCATGCGGGTAGCATGCGTTGTGCAAAATTTCAGCCCAGAAGGTTGGCTGGAACACGCTCTATGAATTTCGTAACAGACATACTCTTACACACACACACACAGACACACAAAGTCACGTAAACATCCTTAGCCCGTTATTATAAGTAACTAGTTGGCGTTCCCGGTCCAGCCCGGGCCATGGTTCACCGCACTGCGAGCCCCCCCCCCCCCCGCCCTATACGGTATGGATGTCATACCCTGGGACATTCGCTTGTCGCATCCTCGTGATCCTGAGGTGAAAATGAGCTTCACCGCCCTCCTTTACATGAGTATGGAAAATGCTTGATTGAACATGATATCCCTTCAGTTCCTTAGGAGAATGTAAACAAATCAATAAATCGATAGAAGGACCCAACGAATCGCCGCAAAAAGTAGCCTATTATCTGCGCTAGGGTCGAAAACATATGTGTGCAAAGTTTTAGCTGAATCGGTTGAGTGGCGCGCGTTTTTATAACGCACATACCCTCCAAACTGATAATTTTTGAGTTTTATATATATATATATATATATATATATATAGATGATGAGCATGGAAAGCAGTTAGTTGTAAGTTAGCAGCTAGCTGACAGTTAAACTCTCGCAAACCTCTGCCAAGCAGAGTTGACACGCACTGGTAATTACATAATATTTTGAGTCAATTAGGGTTTTGCAACATTCTCGTTAACTCCTTTTTTTTTCAAGTCTTGGCCATACCTCACTTTTCGGCGACGATTTGGCAATGCTCCAATTGTCCAAAACTCATCGTACGCACACGCTAAATGTGCAGAGAACAAAGCATTTTATCGATTTACGGCATTTATACACAATATGAATCTAAATCATATACGATGTGGTCTGCTATGTTCAAATGACCGACCTTATCTGACAGATTGCCAGATCGCGTGGGGACTGAAATCGAATGACGTATGACCAAGCCAAGGCTCAGTCACATTACTGAGGTTCTAAAATTATATCATAGAGGGATTCCTAACTAAACCATCGTCCAAGTCTCGCTGCCAAAAAGTTCCGATAAATCACTCCAAAGGTAGAAGTGCCACTTGACATTGCCCATCAACTTGAGTGATTGGTGGTTTGAAGACAAAAACCTTCGAATTGGGCCTCAGTGTAGATAAAAAGTCGAAAATATGATTATTATAAATGGCAGATTTATGACAACTCTGGACCCTTTGAGACCCGATTCTGGGCTTTTTTATCTTCAGACCACCAACGTTGATGGGCGACGCCAGCGAGGCGCTTCTATCCTTTGCAGCGCTCTTCTCGCATTGAAATTTCTTTGCAGCTAGACTTGGGCAATAGCTCAGTTAAGGGCTCCCTCCATTATATGTCGTTAAAATCTCGTCAAAATCAATTTGCGTGAACAATGCCCTTGATTTGACTACGAAAGAAGCCAAAAATATGCGCAAACAGCTCAGTTTCTGACCGCGAAGTAGAAACAAATCATTGCTTGTTTGAAGACTGGCCAACTTTGCGGTCTTCCACTTTTCAAATGCTAACTTGAGACGTGTAGAGCTGTGCAAGTACATCGAGGCAAAATTTTGAGCAGTGTGTAACTGTAGGTCCACTACTAAGCACAGCTAAGAAAGAATTGTAAGTTGAAGGTAAACTGAGATATGGCGTCTTTAGGAAAAACGATTTATGTGCGTCAAAGCTGCTTTTAGTACCGTCAATGCCCAGTCATAAACTCTCGATTACTAGACTCTACATAGTGGCCTGCTGATATGATTATCGTATTCAGTCGTTGTCAGGAGAAAAAGCTATCTCATAATTTTTCAAACTTTACAAAGGCCTACCACATGCCATTCTTGCATCTGATGTCATCTGATCTCTAGCTGGCTTCTCAAAATTTTTGGAAATATCTCTTTGATGCTATCAGATTCCATCTTTGATTACCTCAATCCTCATAGAACAATAAACAACTAGCAACCAAGGTATCATTCGATGCAGCTTTTTATCCTCTTTCTGATAAACTCTTTTCTTTCTGATTTGTATAATGTTCGAGGATAAAATCATTATAATTTTTGTTCTCAGATGCGTCCCAGACTGTACCCAGAAAATTCGGAATTCAATATTTCGAACCGCTAAACGCTTAGCTGCTTGCTAAGATTAGTGCTAAGTCATAATCTGTTTTTTGGAAGCTTCTGATTCCGAAAATTTTCCGGTGTATAAAGCGATTGTGTATTTCGCGACTTCGCAAAAGTAAGAACTTTTGGGAAAATTATTTTAAAAAATACTACGAGTTAGTCGATGAAGCCGGAACAGTTCATTGTATTGCATTTTGTTTATTCTATCCAAATGTTATCAAATATAGTCCAAAAGTTGAAAATGGATATCTTAAAAAATATCCAGGCTGAAGATGGGTGAAAATTATGGGTTGGAGATCCCTGCCGATTATTGAGCGAACATTAAAGTAATCTGAATCAAAACAAAACCATTAGAAAGAGGAAGAAATTCTGCATCAGATAGTATACTTAGAGCGTTTGCCTATCTTCATTCTAAGTGGTTTGAGCATGGGTCTGAAAAACAGCGCGAATTTTCGGACCGACCCAATATATTGATATAATTTCAGATCTCTTAAAATAGCTTATGAGTAATGCAGCTCTTTATAATTTTCTGGATCTTTTTTCAAATTGCATTCAATCTTTGCTATGATGCAGACTACAACCTAGGTTACAAATGCAGCCAACTCTGCGAAATTTTTGCATTCAAGGTTCAAGGTAGGTTAAAGAAAAATTTTTCACATTGCTTCAGACATTGCTGAAACTTGGTATAGAGAAGGGGGAGTATTCAACATGCTAAATACAAAAAACTTCTGAAAGGGCCTCTTTCGTAAAACTCCGCATGTGTGATTACTCCATGCTTAATTATTAGCGGATGCCCTACAAGTTTGACGCATCCAACTTGTTCAACAAAGGCGCTAAATCTTAGTTTGTCCTCAAATTTATTTCTTTTTGTTAACAAGAAAAGCGTTTTTGGTTAAAGTAACCCTCTCAAATGACTTCCATTCTAGTTCAAAGACTATTGAACGCTAATTCCAAATCTGCTATCAAAATCTGCCAAGCCCCTCTGCAAACCGAGTTTTGAGTGTATTTGTCGGCAATCGTCGGCAAATTGAGAGCGCTATATGCAAAACGAAAAGAGCTAAAGGAAAAAGATGCAAAATTTATGTGCCAACCTAGAATGTTCGCTATATGCGAAGCGATATCTGGGAAGAAGATATGACTGAGTTGAGATTTTGTATGGTCTAAATACCCAAAATCGTCAGTGCTAGCCAAGCTGCCTGCTTACGCAGACTAGAAAGCAAGAAAACCGCAATGCATTTTGACTTCTTGTAATTGAACTTACTTATCGGAAATGTTTGTGACTTTTTCGAAAGGTTGCTCTGCACATAAAGAAGATAGATGTGAAATTAGCATTCAAATGCACATCTCATTTTGAAGGTTACGGTGACCTCAAGCACTTCCCTTTCAAGATTACGAACTATCAATCTTGCTGTCATAATTAAGTTAACCTTGAAGAAAGCTTATATAAGAAAAAAGTTGAGTATCCATCGGCAGGCATTTGTTGTGCACAATTCTCTTCCAGGTCTCGTTTCTTGTACTGCAAAGCTGGAATTTGTTCCTTTGTTTCGAGTGAGCTTAAAATCTAAGTACGAATCAATAGCCGTTTTATAGTCGTCCTCACCCCACTAGTCGGTCGGTGGACGAATTCGAATTCGAATTGGAGCAGGCAAGTCGCGGCAGAGCACGGCACCTTAGCTCTCCGTTCAAATTCACGCATTCACTTTGCGTATTTCTTCGCCATTGCTTAGCAGTTTTTGTATTGTTACAACGATTTTGACCTATATTGAGTTTTTGTAATTGCTGAGCGTTGTCTCCTGCCGCGCTCTGCCGTGGCAGGCCTGCTCCAATTCAAATTTGAATTCGTCCACCGACCGACTAGTGGGGTGAGGGCGACTATATCTCTTCTGCCACTTTAAGTTTACATTGTGGTTGTTGTATAATGATTTTTTGCTGCACCAAGACGTTTCAACTAGTGTGATACAAAACACAGATTGAAATGTGAGCATTGTTTCAAGTTGTAATGTTTCCTCTGATCACAGTGACCAAGAAGGTAGTACTGGCTTGTTGCATACCAAACTTCCTGAGCAATTTCTGTATGTAAAAAACCAAATAAAGTGAACTATTATTTGTATAAAAAACGGAAGCGCTCGCGTAAGGCTTGAGTATTCACAAGTCTCAAATATATCACTGTTAGTAAAGGAGACTCTCTTTGTATATCTCACTTCAGCTATCATCTTCACTATCTTTCTGCTGTCGATTGTACCAATGGTAACTCATTCACTCGAATGTTATGAGGGCATTCATGGAGAAGAGAAAGTGGTAAACACTGGGCAGGTGATTACTGTTTAGTCATCTTGACACCAAAAAGATTTCGACCTGAATAGTGAGTCTTAGACATTCGTTCGTCATGCACCTCTTTTGCGAGCAAAACAGCCAATTTCACTCGGTTTCATCTTAGCTCGTTGTTGTAAATCAGACTATTGTACCATGTCTATGAAAATGTCGGTAGTTTTCTCAATAACACGATTTTTCGTTCAAAGCTTTGGCGGAAAACTTTTATTTGCAGCAAACTCTGTAAATCAAAAGTTTTACTCCTTTGCATCTAACACTGAAAGCTTAGCTTTCGAAGTCTAATGACCGTCCTTCCTATCTCCTTTTCATGTAAGGGCAAAAGGCAGTTTTTGAATTCAATGTCATCCTTTGAGTTATATGCGTTCTTTGTTCAGTTTTTACTGTTCAACTTAATGGCTTCCGTGCCTTACCCTATCTCAGCCAATTTGTCGCCAAGTAGAGAAGTGAATACTGGAACGATCAATTCTTTTCCTACATTTCTTGCCACCCTTTAATCCCTCTGCCCTACCGAACTTTATACTGTGCTGCTAGTCCTCGTAAGCCAGAGTAGGTTCCGCTACTTGTCGTGTACTACCCTTACCCCCTCACGCTTTCATCGCTAATTAAAAGTGAGCTATACCCCCAATGTTCAGTAAGAAGTTGTCTCATAGTAGATGATAGGAATTTACTTTTACTGCAAAGTGGCAAAAATCAATAAACCGACGCCAGAGCCTAGCGAATAGCCGCAAACCGTAGAATATGTGTGTATCTATTTTTATGTTTGTGTTTGTGTTTGTGTGAACTTCCAGTTCAAAAAAAAATATCGAAATAATTGAAAATATTTGGTAAACTACATCTTCATTAGTCATCGAGTCTACGAATCTGAAGGTGTCAGGGTACTTGATGAGGGGGCCTCTCGATGTGTGACATATTGTCATAACATTCGCCTTTTTCAGAAAAACCGTATCTTCACCGGTTACGATGAGTATGAAGCTAAAATTTCCAACCTTGTTCAAAACTTTGTTTGAAAGGCTCCTCGAGCATGCCATTTGCAAACATCATGCTCGCTCGCTGCAACAATGCTTCATTGTTAGAGTTACGATGAGCTACAGTGCGTGAAAGGGTAATTTTCGCTTTTCAGCGAATTTTTCTCCCAAAAATCCGCAAAAAGGCTTTACCTTACGAGACGAATGCGTTCTACGTGATCAGCACTTCGGATGTCATACCCCTGCATAAAGATTCGCAGATCTATCAATTTGGTCCTTTACCGTGCACCTATCGTAATCGTGAAAAAGAGCATGATATTTGAAATCACATATTTAGAATCCTTTCTAAGCAAGTAAAGCAGAGCAAAGACGCGATTATTAGCCATCTACCGTGCACTCACCGTAACCCAAGAAAATGGCGCTAAGGATATGAAAGTGAAATTTATGTTCAGCGTCACGGATCTTCCTCGTAGAGAGATCACAGCTGGCTAGTCGCGAGGCTACGTGGGGCGCCAGGTGGCGGATAGGGGGATAATCGCCGACCAAAAGCGACCCCGCGCCTGCTCTGATAAGCAAGCGGAGCCGGGGGGACGGAATCCCTGCCTCCATTGATTCTTTCGAACAACTCACAACTCGAATCGGACGTTTGCATTATCAAGATGTGGATCAATCCCTCCTTGACCGTCTTCATTGCGTACGCCCCAACATCCAGCTACGACGAGGACGAAGTCGAGGCATTTTATATGGACTTAGAGAAGTTCTACAGAGGAGATCGTACTTTCTACAAGATCATCGTCGATGATTTCAATGCGAAGATCAAAGCTAGAAGGTCGACTGCGGAACTTCACATCGGAACCCATGGCTTACAGTGGAACGAAGTTGTCATGATAAACTTGGATAGATACTGTCCGAGTTTATCATGACGACGAGGAATATCCATTGAAACTCACAGTTCCAAAAGCCCTCTTTACGACGCTGGAGCTGGGAATCGGTGGAGAGTACCATAACGAGATTGACCACATCATCTTACAGAAGATACTGCCTGACGGACGTCGCTGTTGTTCCGAGTTCTATACGGGATTAGATTATCGTCTACGCGCCAAATTCTACTTTTTGTGGAATGGAGAGAGAGCCGTAAAGTTCAGGAAACATCGTCCCATGAATACCATAAATTAGGATCTGTTTTCGTCTTCATCCGGCTCATGGCGAGATACCGTGATGGACAACATCGCCGAAGAATAGGAACGGTTCGTACAGCATTTCCACAATTGTGCCAAGGAAGTTCAGAGTTTAAGAAGTACGAGAAGGCGTCTCACCACGGAGACTTTGGAGCTGATACGCCAATGTGGACGCGCACGAGCCACAGGCAACTGCCAAGTGACGTCCGAGCTTGCGAAGCGATGCAGAGAAGATAAAAGAAGACTTCAAGGAGAAAAGAGTAGCAGTGACAGTTGACGCCGCGGAGGCTGGAAGAAGTATACGCAACGCCCGCCGAAGCTTCGTCAACTTCGAGACAAAGATGACCGCACTTCGTCTCTTGACGGAACCATAACTGCTTCTCGAAGATCAAGGGAGAAGGTCATCCACGACTTCTACTCAGATCTTTTTGCGAGCCACGTCCACCTTCCACTATGCCATCTCAAGGAAGAAGAGTATGTCGCACCGTCTGTTCTTCATTTTGAGATTCGTCATGCTATTATGTCGATGAAGATCCGTACAGCAACCGGTCCCGCCAGATTAATCCAGAACATCTGAAGAATGTTTCGCCAGTTCTCATCAAGACCTTGGCAAGGCTCTTCACACGGTATCTGACAGAGGCAAGGTTTCCACGACAATGGAAGACCAGCAAGACAGTGTTGCTGTACAAGAAGGGAGATCCTGCGACATTGACAGTTATCGCCTCATCTGCCTGTTGTCTGTAGTCTATAACCCCTTTATGCGAGTTATTCTCAACAGGATTGGAAGAGAGTTAGACGAAGCAACCATGCGAGCAAGCTGGATTTCGAAGAAAATTCAGCACAATAGACCGAAGAGTGCCTGATACTCCTTTCATGCTCAAAGGAACGAATTCACCGAATGCTCAAGCTACATTTACCTAGGTCGTGAACTCAATATGATGAACGATCTAGCCCCGAAACCGGCCAAGAGGAAACATGCAGCATAAGGAGCATATAAGACAATTAAGGACGTAGTGAAGAAGACCAAGAACATCCGGCTCCGCGCCCACCTTTTCAACTCAACGGTTCTTCTGGCTTTGACGTACGCTTCAGGAACATAGACCGTGAGGAAGCAGGATGTACAGCGGTTAGCGTCATCGAACGAGCTGCTGAGAGAGTGGTGCTAGTAGTGAATCGACTTACGCAAGTGAGACAAGGATTACGAAGTTCTACCCTACGTCAACGATCGAAAATTAGAGACGATGCCGCGTACGCCAAGCAGACCAAGATAAGATGGGCCGGGCACGTAATGCGTTTCAACGACAATCGGTAGACGAGATCTAACAGATTGAACACACTGGACGTCAAACGCGGACGAGGAAGACCGCCGACGCGATGGTCAGATATGTTCACAAAGTCCTCTAATGAAGTCCTTCAGAGCATTCCACGTGCTCCTGGTGCGATGCGTAAACACTGGTCAACAGTTGCCCGAAACAGGGACTAATGGAGGCGTCAATGGTAGCCGCTCGTGCAACACGATAATCAACGGGGATACAGGTGATACAGGTGATGTTCAGCGTACCAATTACCCCCTCCCCCCTAAACAAAATTTGGGGCAAACTCTGGTCTTGGCCCACTATCGTGTTCCTACGGTAACTGTACCGGATGGCACTACCATGCGAAAGAAATGTGGTATTCGTAATCAGCAAGCAATATATCCACTTAGACTAAGTTTTGGCGGAATCCGCGATTCCCTTTTTCGGTCAAGTGATGTGGAATAGTACCCGCAATCTTAAATTGCTTTATGTGCATTAACAAGAAAATACTTAGCAGAGTTACTCTAATGATAGCAAAGTTAGTCTAATGGTTAATGCTCTACGTTATTGCGCTGAAGGTCAAATCTTAATTCCACCCGAGCCTAATATCTGAGGCGATATCTCTGCTCATAATTCCAGTGTCAGGCTGCTCTTCTAAAGAGGGACATGCGCCAAGCGCGCTAAGAAACACCCCGTAGCATCGAAATGCAGATACGTCTTATGAAGAATCTCCGGTAAAAGCTGAGCGTTTCCCGGAAGCGACGCGCATTCGAGCCCGACGAATGCGATTAGTGAGCGAGGCTTACCGTGCAGCTGAAGGGAACGGCTAAAGCGGCACCAAAAACAACGATTCAAGGCATCGCAGACTTTCCGTGTAGCTTTCATCAATATGGAAACACTCATCTCTTGTTCCCGAAAGTTGGCAGTTCTTTTGAAGAGAAGGCGAGTTGATGTAGCCTGCATTCACGAAGCGAAGTAGAGCGGGGCAAAGTCATGCAACAACAAAGATGGATATAAGCTCCTTTACAACGGTCCACCTGCATTAAAAACGGGGTTGGTATAGTGTTTCGGAAACTCTAAGGAGCAATATAGTTGACGTTGAGCGCAAAAGCGATCGTTTGATGAGCATTGAGATAAATACTGGGAAACAGGCCCTACGAGTAACCACCGCTTATGTGCCACAAGCCGAATGTAAGGATAATGGGAAAGACGCGCTCTGGCGGGAGCTGGATGACCACATTGGTTCAATTCCACAGCATAACACTCCTGCTAAGAACGGACCTCAACGGACATGGGGAAGAAAGGCAAGGAGAAGCCGGAAAATGTCACGAAGGTCACGGAAGATGGAAGATGCAATGGAGAAGGCGAGCGGATTTGGAATTTGTTGTCTGTCAGTTCATGATCCGGTCTTGGTGAACACATACTACATAAAGAAGAACATCTTATACATATGCGAGTGGCGACCGACGGACACAGATGGATTTTGGGGCTATCCCACCGCGGGATCTCAGAAACAAGGGCTGCAAACTTATCACCTGTGCGAGCTGCATACCTCAACACGGACCACTTCTTTTGAAGTCAGAATCCCAATGGATAGGCACACCAGGAAAGCCACGGAGACAGGACACGCAATAAATGATGGGGATGAAAACCAACAACGCGGCCAAACACATAAAAACTCTACAAAGCTTGCAAGAAAGTCTAGAGCGATCCTGAGCGAGCCTGAAAGATGGCACACATGGTTCTGGAAAATAAAGCCAGGAAAAAGAAGGGTTAATCGAAAACTTGGTGGTGTAAGGACAAAGTGCAAAAGTCATAAAGAAAAGGAGGGATGCGTTCAAGCGATGGCATAAGACGAAATCGGAGGACGACGCCAGACCTTTTTATAAGCCAAAGACGCTGCAAAGGCTACCTTAAAGAAGGCTAAACAGGTTCCTCAAAAAAGCTCTACGATATATAGAGTTTCCTGAGGATGAACGTGAGATATACTGGATAGCGAGAAGAAGAGCAGGATCCACAAAAGACATGGAACATTTGCTCCATACAGAGACAAACTTAGTAGGACGCTAAGAAAACCAGAAGACATCATCAAGAGATGGCCACCACAATTCGCACCATTAATCAATCCCGGAATGAGTGCAATAGAAGGACGAGTAAAAGCAGTCAAGTAAGAGCAGTATGGCTAGCTATAAGAAGAACAATGAATTCGGAGCCACATGGCTAACGAGTCTCTTCATCCAAATCATAAGAAGCAAGTATGCCTCGTGACTGGTGCACCAGCACGACGATTCCGATAGCGAAGAAAAAAGGAGACATAGCAGACTGCGCATCCCACCGACCATTCCGACTGATGGGCCACACTCTAAATATCTTCGAGCGAATAATCGAAACGCGGCTTAGATAACATGAGTTGTCGAATCATTGCGGATTCGTAAAAAGACTAGGTAAAACTGACGCATCCACTCCGCTCGGATAATGGTGGAGAACTGTAGAGAGAAACAGAAGGAATGGCATGCGCCTTCCTAGACCTGGAGAAAACCTTCGATAAGTCCCAGAAAGCTATATGGTGGGCTTTACAGAAACATAGGGGTACCAAAGCAGCTCGTTTAGTGGATGAAGTTGATCTACCGCAACGCTTCAAGCCACACGCAAACAGCTGCAAGACCAAAGAATTTCAAAACAGAGCTGGATTACATCAAGTTTCGTTTTCTCTCACTTGCTTTTTCTCTGTGATGAACGCTCGATGGAACCGTTCAGACGTGAACCTCCTTGGACATTTTTCTACACAGAATATGTGGTTTTGATAACAAGTACCGGAAAAGAGCCACAAGACGAGGTACAGAACTGGAAGAACAGGCTAAAGTTGTATGGCCTTATGTTCAACACCAAGAAGGCAGGATATATAAAAGTAGGGAACTAAAACCCTTGATACCGTAAGCATCGATGGTGAAGAGTCAAAGAAGACACCATACCAGGTACCTAGGCAGTCATATCTCAGCGGAGGGAGGCTTACAAGAGGAGGCCGCAGGCAGGACGAACACAGCATGGATAAAATGGAGATTTCAACAAGAGTTCTGTGCGACAGAAGAATGCACTTAAGTACCAACTGTACCGAACCGTTACCCACCCAGCAGAATCGTAGCAGTGAGTGCTGGCCACGTACGCGGAATAAGGAACGCAAGCTCAGTGTCATGAAAGGATTCTACGAGGGACTTTAGGGCCTTTAGTAATCTATTCTACCGGTGGCATCAAAGATGTCAGCAAGTTGGCACACATCGCGGTAAGATGCCAACTCCGGCGGCAGCTCGCTGATTGATCATAAATTCTGATATCGGTTAGTCTTCTCCGCGGTCCTATGCATATGAAATTTTACGACGCTGATAGCCGCAAAACAGCAGCATCGCGCGCGTTCGAACCTTCATGCGTTAATCTCAAGCGCCGCCGCACTGACCATTCGACCACATGTCCAGTTGTTGTCTGCGGCAGCAATGATAGAAACGATGCTCAAAGCTGGGAGCAATTCCGGAACATGGGAATCAGTATGAACCCAGCCTAAAAGGCGCTTGTATAAGAGCATGATCAACACATTGAGTGATAAAAGCCAGCGAGAGACGTTTCGCTGCAAATGAGATTTAAGCAATTACAAAATGAAAATGGGGTTCTTTATGGTTTCATTATATTACTAGTCGTTTCTTGTGAACGCTTATTTTATTTGGAGGAGAAAAACCCATATAATGACTGAAATGACAGTTTTTCGAGGGAAGGTAAATTTTTTTTGCTTTTTTTGCTGACGTAAGTTGTGTGATATTGCCGCGCGACGCAAATTCACAGCGCCGTCGGGAAGGTGCCAGCACCTCGACGTTGTAGGGGCACGTCGAGATTCCGGCAACTTCTTCTCGCAAAAGAATACGCTATTTCTCGTGTTCTCGGCCTGCCGGCAGTTGCCACCTTGCAAATTTCGACGAGTCGCCGGCAGGTTGCCGGCAATTGAGCTCGCGGAATTGCCGGCAGCTCCTCCTGCGCTTCACAAAATTTTCCACAGGGAAGATTCCTGGGACCTTAAATTTCGGTGGAGGTTTCTATAGAGCCGCGGTGGCACCTTTATCCGGGAAATTTCTTGGCAAAAAGTCTATGACTCTAAATTTGGAATTTTAGTTTCTGCCGACCTCATGGCAAGGTGCTGGCGACCCGCCGGCGACACATGTTGGCAGATCGGGGGGGGGGACTACTACCGGTTTAGGAGTCACACCAAAGGACCACATCTGCATTGACAATATACGAGCGCAAATGAGAGTAGTTCTTATTGCCCAAAAATGTAGGAAAAGAAATTACGATGGTATGAGCATGTGCGCAGAAAAAATGAAAGTCACATCACAAAGTTAGCTCTGGTTGTGGAGGCACAAGGCAAGAGACTCAGAGGTAAAGACAAGATGAGGTGGATAGACAGAATCAAGGCCGACTTGCGAGAACTTGGTACAGGAGAAGACCTTGCCTCAAATATGGCGACATGGGGACATCTGACAAAAAAAAGCAGACCTTGCATAAGCGGGATACATACGAGGATAAAAAAAACCAACAATGAAATGCGGGAAAACTGGAGCGTTGGATGCTGCGAAGAATGCTGACTCCAAGTTTGAAGTCAGCCTCACGAGCTGCCCAAGCGGCAGCGCAAATAATTCATTCACGGTTGAGAAATCCGTCCCCAAACCCTTTGCGCTTGTGCCGCAATCAGTGAGATAGCTCACATTAACACTACGTTCAGGACCCATTCTTTGTTACTCGCAAGTTAGGGTCATGGCGCAGGCGCGGAGGGTTTAAGGATTTCTCAGCCGTAAATGAATCATTTGCGCTGCCGTTTGGGCACTGATTTAGTTAGGAGGCCCTTACCTGTGTTTTCAGGCGAAAAACCAATGTTTTCAGATTTGCCTGGACACTGCCTTTATGACCCTAAAGCAACCTAAAATGCATCTTTGGTCCGGTTAAGCCATATATGGATCTGGCTGTCAGAATTTACATACAATCTTTGCAGTGTGATGGCTTACTGCTTTGTGCATGAAAGCCTCAGTTAGACAAAATAAGTAGATATGAAGTTAGTCCAAGCTGCATCCGTCAGTGCAGTTTGTCAAAATTGTCACTTTACTGCTGACTACTTCTTTATAAGATTGCCTCATTCTCACTACTGTGTTTTTGATATGTTTGGCTACACATTCTTTACAAAAGCTTTCCTCATGCGAAACCTACACACAAGCTCAAAGGGACAAGGTAGTGCCTCATAATGACACGAACGCAAATGATGTTGAGCCTACTAGTTTCTGAATGATGACTAATTTCATACGTTACGTAAGACGGATTCACAGAATTTAGAAATTTATAAACAAGTAAATAATTTGCTTGCAGGACAGTCAAGTAGCAAAAATGTATAAAATGTTTTCTATTTAGCAGCAATCATTCGTCTCTAAAACAACATTTTTCGATGACTTGAATGCGATTCTGTCAAATTAACTAATGCTGATTTCAAATCAGCGAAAGATTTGAGAGTGTTTCAAATTTGTTGCTTTGCAAAAACGACTCTAGCTTTCGTCCAGTCCCACAAAATTGTCAAACATTCAGACAATTTTGTAATTAAGTTCAGCAGTTTTTTGAAACAATCGTAATTTTGTGCTTTGCAGAAATCGATGTGCATGTATGAACCAAGAATTCCTTGCGACTTTAAAGAGCCCGATCAGTACAGTATTATTAGATACGATCAAGATGTATGTTGCATTGATCATTTCCACATACACTTCCGCATTTATTTCAGTATTCCGAAATATGCTTTGTGTACGAACGAGTGGTCTGCTTCTGTGCGGAAGATTTGTGCAACAAAAACTACACAAAATTACTGGTAATCTGAACATAGTTTTTTTCGATGTAAAAACAGAGCTTTTGCAACTTCTCCAAGCCATTGTACTGAAGAAACCTCATCTTATCACCTGCCATCAATCAATAGAGCATGGAGATTCTCAACTAAATGCATCAAGCAAGCGAAAAGAAGCGAGAGTTTTACAAAGGATTCGCTGAACGCTAATAACCGTTCCAGATGCTGGTGAATTTGATTTTTGGGCACACACATACCGCCTTACCTTCATTTATTCAAGGAAACTGCACGCAAAAGCAAGTTGAAAAAAAAACTGCTAGAAATAACTTAAATTTAGTTTGTTGAAAGGGGGAAGGGAAGCGCTAACCGAAAAATTTAGGACGCTTTCCCAAAGCGAGGCCATAACTCTAGATGGTCCATTTTTTTAGAAATCGCAATTTACTTCAAATTAAATTCCAAATTAAGAACTCAATTACCCACTAATCGACTTCCACCGAGAAAATCTGGCACGCCTCCAACTTGGTTGTATCTAGCAGATACATAATAAGATGCATAGATAGTCGCTGTGAGTTTAGGCTAGATTCAAGAAACAAAAACCTGCTAAAAATGCAATATCGTCTTTTTTTTTATTTATTCTATAATTGGAGTACATCGTAGAAAGATGTTGTGGTTTTTGTGTTTGCTGGTTCAATGTTTTCAGGTTTTGGTTTCAAGCTTCAAGCGATTATGATTTGAACGGATTTCCAAGAGAGAGAGAGAGACACTTTATGGAGCATGCTTTGTCATGCCGAATAGTGCTCTTACTCCATTTTACATTTACATTGCGGCAGTAGCCAGACAAACGCACATCACTTTCGCATCAAATCAAAAACTCAAATTCCTAAAATGTTCACAAATCATTACAAAGAATTTACAAGTAAGAACAAGTGACTTGCACAATCTTACAACCTGTACAAATAACTTTGAAATATCCCCCTATACCCCTTTTCTCGGTTTGCCACGCGTCACTGCCTGAAAAACATCCAGATTCATGCGTTGCAGCGCTTATTGCCAAAACGCGCGAAACTGTAACGAACTGGAGGACAAGACAAATATGACTAACCGTGCAACTGCGAAATTTTGTAAAAGTATTAGGTTGATGCAAAAGTAATGCGCGTTTCGCGGGTTCTCACTTTGACGTGCTATAAGTTTCTCAAATATCCAGATTTTTTAATGCGATAAAGACCGTCAAAAGCAGCAAACCTTTCCAATACGGCCACATCCTTCTAGAATCATATCACAAACGGGCAAAAAATTTTCGACTGATAAGCAAAAAAAGTTTCTTTCTGGAACTGCGTTTTTAACTGATCATAACTCCCCTCAAAATAAGTTAGTATAAGTGCTAAGTAGCCTACCTTATAGACGCAAGCCACTAGTAAAAGCAGGATGGAAAGGGCTCAAACAAAGAGGATTTTCGAAAAGAAAAATTTCAAAGTTCAAAATTGTCAGCTTTTTTCAACATTCTTTCTTAGGCCTCAAAGTCCCAAAATGTGATGTTTTTTGATTTTTTGCGTATCAACTAGCTAAACGTTTACAAAAACTGTCAACGGGAGGCCCACCCTTACGCTTACAGAAATGAGCAAAGCTTTGGCGATTGCGTTCTTCAAAAAAAAATTTATGGCCACAGAATGACCACAACAACTACCCATGTTGAGACGGTGATATCTCAGTCTGGGCAAATTTTAAGAAGATAGGAAAGTGTGCATTTTGTATACAACTTCTGTTATATATAGTAGATGAACTTTCAAAAAAAAGCCTCCATTCGCGTCTGAGAAATGGCCAGAAAAGTAAATGCAATAAAATTCTGATTTTGAGTTGAGCGGTTGTGTGAAGCTTTGCGAATTTTTAACGAATGAGCCTAGAAGCTTGCTTCAGCAACGATTAGATAGAGCATAAAAAGAGCTTCTTGATGGCGTGTCAAGCCTTTTCCAAAGAAAGAAGTTTGATGGATAAAAGCTGTCCTGAAGCAAGGGTTAGAAAAACGCGCATTACTTTTGCACCAACCCAATATTTCATGCTTTTTCTGTCTTTGGCCAGTCGGAAACAATAATGTTTTTATCCGGTGACTAAAAACCAGGCCGGGTCATACAAACTCTCTAGAATCAGCCATCTTTACTTGCAAACATGTTTCAAACCTTGGTGAACATTCAGGAATACCCTTACTAAGCCAAATATTAATTCCGCTTATTGTTCCGTCCCTTATCGCGTTCTCTCAAACCAACAAATTTGACAAGAAGTTACCCAGGATATCCTAAAATAATGTGTTGAACGTTCGATTTGTAATAACTCCCTTGCAGTGGTGTACCCAGGATTTCGGCTCGGAGGGGTGGGGGATGACAAAAAAATTTTCTAAAGGTGCTTGGCGTTCGCCACGCACTCTGAAAAATTGTTTGGTATGCTATCAAAAATTCTCGCGGGCTCATAACCATGAAACCAGAAAAAGGCAGCAGCATCAGCCACGTTCCCCAAAAAATCATGACTTATAATAAGCGGCTAAGGATGTTTACGTCTTTTTGTCTGTGTGTGTGTGTGTCTGTCTGTCCGTTACGAAATTCGTAAAGTATGTTCCAGCCAACGTTCTGAGCCCAAATTTTGCACAGCGCACGCTACCAGCATGAAAGCTCACTATGCAAAAGCAAGAGAGGATCCGTTGAGTGGATCCGTTGAAAATTGCGCGTCAAACGGATCCACTTGGCTTCTGGCCAGCAAATTTGGGTCCGTAGTACTACTTTTTGCAGAGATATGGATATATTTGACAAGTTAATGTGCAAGCCATGGACGCTAGCCTAAAAAGGTGATGTAAAGTCTACTACTTTACGAAAACAGCGCCAAAAAGCATTGGCTGCGTAAACGGTCAATTTTTCAGGATTTTACCCGATCATTTGAGAAGATTTTTGCACAGAGATGTAGCCCACGATGTTTATTGTCCTTAAGGCGACTATAAAGCCATAAAGATTCCAAAAACCTATTCAAATTTGCATCTTTTTTTCTGGGAAAGATTTTATTCACGTGAAAATACCGATCTTACACGAAAAATCTCTAGGAATGAGTAGTTGTTTACGAATCATTCGTAATAGCCTACACAACGCGGTGAGTTTCAATGTAATTATTATGCGGGAATGAGTAAGGCATAGATAAAGTAGGGCCAGTGCGAGCCTCTGCGAAGCAGAGGTGACGCACTGGTTTTTTCATAAGACTGGAATGAATTTTTGACAATTTTTTTAAAAATATTTATTTAGAAGTATGAACAAGTCATTTTCATAATTTTATAACTCATGTAAGCAACTTTCAAGAATTTGCCACTGCTCCCTTGTACAAAAGCTCTTGCCTCTCTCCAAACACATTTTTTAGAGAGGACTTCAACTTCTAACATAAAATGAATTGCCGATCCCATTGAGATAGAATCACGGTGGAGACTTTCAGCTTACAGCGTCATTGTAATTTAGCCGTGTTTCATTATAAAAAATTTTTTTGAGGTTTTCTCAAAGTTTTTGGAAAAAGGTGTAGTTACAATTTTATGAAGCATATAAAGACACCTACTGCGTTTTACTAGGCAATTGGAAAGTGAAGAACTGCGGTAAAGTGCAAAGTTTATGTTTAATGTCAGCTGCTCTGACCAGCCCAACGTAAGAGTTTCGAAGTTGCATAGTTTGCTTTTTTGAGGCGAAATAAAGCTTCAAATGGCAGCCTTCTTCAGTAATCTTACAGTAAGTTGCAATAATGAAGAAAAGCCGGCTGTCTCTCGTTGATGTAGCCTAAGCCCGCCTCCCCCGCACCCGTTGATTTCCAGCCCCGTAGCGTAGAGTTTAGCATGAAGCTAAAAATCGATAAAATCGAGTCGAAGTAAGAAAAGTAGACTGCGAAAAAACCCACCCTCTTCGAAGTGTATGTGTGCAAAGTTCGGTGCGGAGCGGTTCAGAAATAGAGTTTTCTGTTTGTAACATACGCACAAACATACAGACGGACAAACAGCCACACAGACAAAACAGAACATTTAGCTTGATATACTGAATTTAGGGCTGATGATAGTTTCCTTAAATTTGCATAAAGTTGAAAACGATAAATGTGGTGTGAGTGTTGAGGGATCTAGTATAACCATATATTTGTTGCTACAGAACATATTGTCACTTTCAGAACACTTCCACTTTTTTTCCAAAATTCTAACTACAAAATTCTGTGCTTTTTGAATCTATTATCATTTTGTTCTTTTCTCTACAAAGCAAGTAGGCGGATTTTTTTACTGTATTGTGGATTTAACTGTATCCTGCGCAAGCTTGAGTGGCCTCTTTTCTACAGAAAATAAAGCTTTTTCTTACACAGCCAACTACTAAAAACGCCAGATTTTAGCACTTAGTAATTATATTCTAACACGCACAGTCCTACTCGTTGATGTGAAAGCAAAAACCAGATAAAATTCTAGTAAACTTCGCTTTTTTTTCAGGAGAAGTGGGATGCTACTGATGTTGCAAATGAGACTCTTAGAGATTGTGTGAGGAATCATTTGCTTGAACGAAGTACGTTTTGGAGTTAGGACAAATCCATGGCATATATACAATCATACACGATCATTTGCAGTCGAAGAAACACGCGTTTCAAGCACAGAAGCAAATTCAGCAACTTCTACAGCCTCAATTGAGGTGCTGTTTTTACCTTAATATTCTTTCAAGACTGTCCTTAGTTTTGCAATCGTATCTTCTATGCTGCAAGCCAAGCACTTTTCAATCCCATATTCAAGCACCCTTTTTCCGAAAACAGCTATATGCTACTACGCGTCTTAAGAGGATAGTTCGATTAACCCAACCTTCAAATGTATATGGATATGCTCGTTTTGCAAAGCCATTCACATCCATTTTCGAAATCTCGCAACGACTCTCCTACAGAAGTAAGGCCATTTATAATAGTTTGGAAGAAAATACAGCAAAATGCATGTTTTTCCCAATCTTCGTAATTTCAGGCCAAGCGAACTTGCATTTTTTATTCAAGGCAATCCTGTTCTAGCCGCTTCCGAGAGCGAATGCCTTGATAACTCTTTGAGGATCATTTCGCAGATTTCGGACTTGGATTTGAGATTACATTTTAAACTGATATTTGCTTATGCTCAAGGGCCGGGATAGCTTAAAAAGTTCCCTTCCTATTGTCCGATCAGAAGCATATGGCGATGATTTTTGAATATAGCTTGAACAAAGACAGAGTCCTTTTACAAACTGTAGTCCTTTGTTTCCTACTAATAAGTTCCAGGGAGACCTAAAAATCAAAAGTAATTTCTCTAAGGAAATGAACACAGTGGAGCAATAGTTTTAGTATTCACATTACGTGAAAGCATAATTTCACTCGTAGGGGCTAGATCTTGAAACCTTCACTTATTCCAAAGTTTATTTTATCTTATTGCATCCAAAGTCTGTTGATTTATGAGCTTTCTCTCCGTGCAGAAAATTTTATAACAAGACAAATAAGACCTTAACCAAAATGTAAACGCAGCTTTTCTCAACTATGTACATTAGCAAACACTTTTTTTTTCATTCACTTTCTTTTTAAGGCCCGTATGCACGTACATCCCCGCGGGGAGGGAAGGGGATTTGAGAGGGGAAGCGCCATATCTTGCTGCTCTAGATATCTTTCTTCCTTCTTCTCTATTTTGCTTATAAAGGTTGTCATACCCTGATACCTGCGCATAATGGATGCCAGGTTACTGTTACACGAGGTTAAATATTCGCTATTTCTTCCGATCCCCTGGAGATCCCCAGGGGACCACCTCGCATTTTCAAAGTCATTTATCTTTTTGAAAAATCAATGAAAACGCTGCAAAATTCTGAAGATATACTACGATTCTGCTGAGCATGTTTTCGACAGAAGAAATGGAATCTGAAGACTTTGATTTTTTCGATAATCCCTGGCTCGCGAGCAAGCGGTTCATCGAAGATTTTGATATCTTGAGATTTCACTCATTTCTATCATAAACATGTTTAGCAGTGCTGTAGTGTATCCTCATTATAATTTTATAACATTTTCATCGAGTTTTCAGGAAGATAAATAACTTTGAAAATGTGAGGTGATTCCTTGGGATCCCCAGGGGATCAGGCGAAAATATGAATATCTAATCTTGTATGGCAGTAATCTGGCATCCGTTAAGCGCAAGTATCAGTGTATGAGAACCTTCAAAAGAAAGACAGAGAAAGAGGAAGGAAGATACATAGACTAGCGATATATGACGCTTCCCCTCTCTGATCGCCTTCCCTACCCGCGGGGATGTAGGTGCATACGGGCCTAAAACTTCGCTGAACACACTCGGCTTTACAGAGCAAAGCGGAGACAACAGAAAGTAGTGAAATAGCGACGACTAGTGAAGAGAAAGGCTCGAGTGCAACAAGTCTAGGTGAGAAAGTGATTACATTTGCCCCACAGGTATATTTACATAAAGCATTTGGCAGCTGTATAAAAGTACGTAATTGTGCGTCAAAGAGTTTTTCCCAAAAAGCTTCGAATAGATTTTGCCTAGTTACAGCCTGAGCTAGTTTTTGCTGCGCTTGGCCTTTTCTGCAAATGCTACTGCCAACATCCCCTAGACATAGCCTAGCTGCAGCAAGTGGTTTATCATGTACTAATTGACTTACCCGGCTCCGCCCGGCCCTGTCATTATTATACTCGTAATCAGCATGCTCGATTACCCCCCTGTGTCAACTCCCAGCCCCGTAGCTCAAATTTTGCAAAAAATCGATAAAATCGATATCGATCGATGACGAAAAGTAGCCTATGATAACACCCGCCGGGCCCGAAGTGTATGTGTGCCAAGTTTGGTCCGGATCGGTTCAGAAATGGAATTTTCTATTCGGAAGATACGTACACACAGACATACAATACAGACAGACAGACAAACAGACATTCAGCTTTATATATAAGATTTTGGATGACGCCATTCTTTCGTGAAACATGCTCATGCCAATTTTATCCAAAAAAAGGATTTTGCCTTTGAATTGAGCTGGCTTGACGCTCAACTAAACTGGTAAACCAAGTTAGTATTATAGTTCACGCTACTGTTGTTATTTATTTATCTCCTTTGATAGCGCGCACAGTTTTTGAAGAGAAGTATGAAATTTGAACCAGAACGTACTTTTACAATTTTTATAACATCGACGTTATTTTAATGGATAAGACCGAATTGTAAGATTAATGCAAAACCAATGCCCATTTTGCGATGTACAATTCTAAGACTTCGAAAATCTTGAAATTCCATATGTTTACTTGAGTGGAAACCACCAGATGCGGTAAATCTTTTGTTAGTAAAAATAAGTAGTAGTAGTTAAATCTTTCTTTCGTTTTGATAGTACAGACGGAAAGGAAATAGCATGTTAAAAAAAGTCCTTTCTTTCATGAATTTTGTTTTTGACAAACAACTCCTGACAATTTTAATGGTCAGGCTCTCAACTACAGCCATCTGTGGCCACAAGCCAATAGCACAATTGCGAGTAGAACAGGTTTGGGTTCTCTGCACAACTTCTCAGACAATCGCCGGGGTAGGCGGTCCGCAAACTCGCGCTTTTCTGCAAGCGGTCAGCAAGATTTTGGGGCGTGAATCCTTTAGCGAGCCGTACTTCCTTTGCTGTCGAATGTTCTGTCAGCGGGCAACAATACAAATCTTTTTTGTAAGCCGCGTGAAATAATCTCTTTCAGCGAGCGAGAGCCAGACTTTCAGCAGGCGCTCGAACTCTTTTTATGCGGATTCGGGCGTACGCCGAGCAAAGGTAAGACGTGGCAGACGTATCATCGTCGGTTTAACTGCCCGAGTTTGGGGTACCTTCTTTGAGCGAAAGGTACCTAAAGGCTGCGCGGTCCTTTACAAAGGACTGTGCGGCCTTCAACATTTTTGCATATTCCCGTGGAAAGTCCACGGGAATGCGGCCACTGCGCCGCAGCTAACCTATGAAAATTTCTACACCCCTAACATTCTCCTAAGTATCTGCAAGCGGACCGCAAGAAACCAGCGAACTATTTTTCCGGTGCTTGCTTGTCTGTAAATCGCATGGCCGCCTACCCCGGCGATTCTTTGAGTTGTTGATCAAATCTTGATACAAGAATAGACAGTAGAAAAGCAAGGAACACAGTTAATTTTGCGTGAGCAATGAGTTACCGAAAACGCACTCATTATTAGGCCTAAGTTCTACAACAACTGAAACGGAGCCCCGGGATGAAGCTAAAACAACTGAAACGGAGCCCCGGGATGAAGCTACAACAACTGAAACGGAGCCCCGGGATGAAGGTGTGAGGCCAAAATTTTCAGCATACACACTTTTGTAATACAGTGCTGGTGAAGCTTTTGCAGCCACCGTGGAATTTTGCTAACTTACTCTTCCACATATAACGAATTCAAATTTGATATTGCGTGCAGATCATGCTCAGCACTATGCCAAATTTTTTACAGTTTCATGCACACAGAATGAGGCCCTGGAAAAAAAGGACGAAAACGACAAGATCGAAGTTGGCAAAAATTAACAGTCACCTTCTGCTAAACGTCTTTGAAAATTTATGCACCACTATGCCTTGAGATATGCAACCGACCTTCATCAGGATATACATCCAACATTCATTATGCAACCAGCATTTATCAAACTTCAAAAAGGAAGACGTCACGGAGCAAATTTGCTTGGACGTCAAATGGCCGCAAACCTTTCAGCTCAAAAATTGGGCTCAGCGACAAAAGAGAATCTTGAAAATCCTACTTTGACAAAGACGAATACTTGTCCAAAGCTCGCAGAACTCCATTGGAAACATGGAGACACATACTGCTACGGAAAAGTTTGTACGATTTTCACAACCGACTCTTGGCAGATCAAACAGACAGATCAAACATTTCCTAAATGTGATGATCGCAAAAACTTTTCTGGAAGCGCTTCCATGTTTCTAATAAAGTTCTGCGGGTTTCGGACAATGCTTCATCTTTGAAAAGCAGGGTTTTCATCAAATTAAGAACTCTGCAGACGCTGAGCCTAATTCTTCAGCTCGGAGGTGTTCCGAATCTGAGTTAAGGTGGTGGTAGATTTTAAAGCATGCCAAGTAATGTTTTTCTGTCGCATTAGTAAACCGCCAGTAAACGTCCAAATGGAGCAACCTTTTCTTGGAAGCACAGATCAGCCTATCACTTCTCAACAATCTAATTTATCCAATTTTTGCAGTTATTTGGCGTCCACACAAATTTACTCCTCAAAGTCTCCTTTTTTGAGGTTTGGTGACGCTGGTTGCACTCTAATAAATGTTGAATGCTAATCTTGATGAATGTTGGTTGCATATCTCTTTAGGCATAGGAGTGCATCTGTAGCTTAAATACTGGAAGATAAACAATTACTTAAAGATTTTAAAGAAAGTGGCTGCAAGTTTTTGACCAACTTCAATCTTGCCGTTTCCGCTATTTTCCCCAGGGGCCCCCTTTGTGTGCACGAAACTGATGAAATTTTGGCATAGTGTTCAGCAGTGTGATTCGCACGCCATATCAAATTTGAATTCGTTATATGCGAAAAAGAGAAAGCTGGCCAACACTACAGCAAATCATAAGCCGTTTATATTCATTTTATATTGATTTAGTGTCGACAACCACTCAGCACGACTCGAACAGCGAAACATCGCAATCTACGGGTGGAGGTAATTGTTTTCTTTTGGGAGTCCAAATGTTGCTATAGCATCAGTAACAGGCCTCTACATATACTCCAACAGTGGTATACTCACTGTTCAAAAAAGATAGTAAACTGCGTTTTTGAGCATGCTTTTCAAAAGTAGAAACCTCACGAGGGGAGGGGATACTTGGTGACCGTGGCCTTTTGCAATGAGATGTATATTATTAGGTGCATCTTGGAACGCTGATTCTAGATCTATGTTCACTATCTGCTGTGCTATTCTCTGAAGAGGTTATGGACTTTTTCCATATTGATTTTGCCAAATTTAGATAGTCTAAATCGTCAGTATCCAGGCTTTTTAGGCTCTGATATGTCGGAGACAGTTTTTCTGAGCTTAAAGTAATGATTTACTTGATTCGGACTCCTTTTGTAGGGCGTAAGCGAACATGCTAACGATATTGGTGAATCCTGCATCAAAAACAGTGCAAATTTAGTGACAAGAAATGTTCGTAACTTCTTTCGGAAGAGCCCACAGCAGATAATGGAAACAGATTTGGAATCAGCGCTTCAAGATGCACCTAACGGTATACGTTTCATTTCAAAAGGCCAGGGTCACCAAATATCCCTTCCTTGTCAGTTGCAACGCTTTATACAAGATGCCATAAAATATGCACTGTTTGATTGTTATTAGCTTTCCTCCTATGCATTTGCCAATTTTTGGTACTATATCGTGAACTGCTCCAACTTAGGCATACTGTATGAGGCTAACCATAGATATTCACTATTGCAGATAACGATGTAAACTATGAAGGGGATTTGGACTATTGGCAGTTATTCTCCGTTTCTAGAAGCGGCCCAAACCTCTCAAAAATTCGTACCTCAAGTCAACTCTAATTTTGATTCTAAATATAGATTTTAACATGATGCTGTCATAATTTTTGACAAATATACGATGACGGCTAATTTTCCAATATTTCTTGACCATATTAGGTTGGCTTGGACATTTTCGGACTAAATTTTCTATTGAAAACTAATACATGCACATCCTCGAAAACTTGCAGGTGTGTAAGTATGTGTACAGTATAAATTGAAGCATGCGGATATTTCATAACGTGTTATTTAGACGTTGGAGCTCAGCGCTAGGTCAATATTCTATGCTTTGGAATTTTCACCTGAATTTCCACAGAAAAGGATGATAATGCCTGTGCTTATAATATGTTCGTAGGGGTTGCCTTCCTCTATCGAACGGTGTGCAGTATACCCCAAGTGCTTACACCGGAAAAATACTTTGTCCAAATGCAGTGTCCGAGAACTTTCAAGCCAACGTAATATGTTCACGTCGTTTACAGAGCTTGCCAACGAGTTGCGAGTAACTTTCGTGAAATCAACGCGTTCATTGCTACACATGCTGTCAATCATTTTTGGATTTTCTAAAGCTATTCACAATGGCGCTGCATACTAGAAGTGTCCACCATAATGTCACAGAAATAAGGAGCGCTCTATATCTTGAATTCAAAATGTTGCTAGCTCTAGGGAATGGCGTAAAGATCGGCAAACTTTTTTGAGAAGTTTATTACAGGTCGTCGTGAAATCCGTGAACATGGTGTTTTTGTCGTAGTCACGAAACTAGGCAAGATATTTACGTGAAAATATATTAGGTCGTTTCATAAGTTCGTCGACTTTTTATTTTTGTTGCCGTTTTTCGATGAAGCGGTTGGTTTACGGCAAAGTACCTATACCATTGAAAAGAGAAAATCTTGCTTTACAAGAACTGTTGTTCGTTTTTGGAGCAAGCTTGAGTCCCCTTCTTTTACGACTTATCAAAGCAAAATTTTTTGAGAGGCAAAAATTGGCGATTTTGGCACTTGCAACTTTCGATCCGTATACGGAGCCATAAGTGGGAATTTTTCGTCTGAAGTTGTTATGACTGAAGAGAAACAACTGTTTGTGGTACTACGGTGCATATAAAAGTAGTCTCCATATCCAAAGAAACGCTTAAAGAAAGATTAAGCGCACGTTCACCATGTGCGTAGATGTTTTGCGTTTGGCACCATTTGAAGAAGTTCCCAGCTCAATTTTTTTGAGAAAGCGTAAAATGCTGGCCAGAGCTTAAACTCATACATCTACACCACTTAGAAGAACGCATCCATTCCTCAAGTTTCGATAGGAGGACCGACACATTGTGTCGCTGAACAACGCGCCAAATTCAAGCGGCAGCAGTCAAAGACAACAACTATTGGGACCTTGTTCAAACGGTTTTATGCATATTGGCATGCTGCAAATTTGTCAGTGTTTCAGTCTTGCTTGCTACTATCCATCCCGCCTACCTATGGCAGAAACATTTTGCGGAATACGGACCAAATGCGGAAAGTGCACTTGCCGAAATCGCCAATTTTTGCCTCTCAAAAAATTTTGCTTGGATAAGTCGTAAAAGAAGGGGATTCAAGTTTGCTCCAAAAACAAACAACAGTTCTTGTAAAGCAAGATTTTTTCTTTTTAATGGTATAGGTACTTTGCCGTAAACCAACCGCTTCATTGAAAAACGGCGACAAAAATAAAAAGTCGACGAACTTATGAAACGGCCTAATATAATATTTTTCAAACGGTCCACTACACAAAAGTAACTTTACCATTCGAAGATCTCTCCTTTGGCGAGAACGCAGGCTCGAGTACTCTTGAGAAAGCTGTCCACGGTAGCACGAAAGTACTCCTTCTCGATTTTCTCCCACGCATTCTTAAGAGCACGTTGCAGGGATTCCACATCTTGCGTGAATGAGCGCAGATCCTAGCCTTAAGAATTTTCCAGACGCTTTAGTTGAGGAGATTAAAGTACGGCGAATGAGGAGGCCGTTTTGCAGGAGTAATGAAGTTTCTAACATTGTTTTGGAGCCGCCTGAACAGACTTGCCTTGTGAGCAGGTGAGTTGTCCTGCTGTAAGCACCACTGTCGCCGGCAAAATGGGTACTAATCTAAGGTAGCAGTTCCTCCATCAATATGCTATTCAATACGCAGCAGCACGCAGCACTCACCTTGATGCCACAAGGCACAAAAATAGCGGCGTCTTGCCGTCGGAAGTGATTGCCGTTCAAACTATTATAGAAGTCGGATGAAGATTACTTTCCACAAGTCAACCTTGAAGTTTGCTTTTCAAGCGATCTGGATATGATCCTACTGCTTTGGCAACTCAAAACCTGCTATACGGTGAGAATCTTCTCGTCAGAGAAGAGCATCGTCCGGTAGCGTGCTTTGGAGAAGCGACCAAGCAATCGGCGGCACCTGTGAAGTCGGGTTAGCTCCATACTGTATTGAAGTACGTGTTATCTGCATCCGGTTCATCCCAAGGTTCCTTTCACGATGTCGGAGATGGTCCTGCGACTGGACAGCTTTGATGCCAGCTCAATCAAGCTTCTCTGCGGATTCTGGAGTGTGCGTTCTCGGATGATTTTCCGGTGTGGAAGTATACCATCCCAGGACGGTTCGGGGTGCTGTTTGTCTACTTGAAACGGCGCAGGGTAAACCGTACTGTGTTTCGTGGAATTACAAGTTTGAGCAACCTGCTGTTGGGACTTCCCTTCCATGTGCATCTTCACGATCAGCTTACGCGCTAATTGAGAATGTTGTTTAAAACCTTCCCCCGGCCCTTTAGTCAAAGAGTGCATACTTACTTTTGCGACACCCTCTATTTCAAGGCCTCAAAAATCTTTTCATCGTCTGTTCATTTTTGAATGGCTTCATCTAAACGGCTCCAACGTCGCCATTCAACGGCGCTGAATTTTTCAGTGTTTTCTGTTGGCGGGATCATGGATGTGCTAGGGAACTAGACGTTTTATGCGGTGCAGTTCTTCGCTGCTGATGGTCGACCGGTTTGCAAAAGTCGCAACCTTGGATCATAATGAAGAATGATCAGTGATAATTCTTCTAGCTCTAGTTTGAACCCAGACTAATTGTCTAAGCCAGCGTAGCCGCTACTACTTTTTGAGCGATTTTCTCGCTTTGGAATTCATGTTTGCAGCGAGGCTTGGAGTGCATAGTAATTGTCAACATCAAACTTTCATCACTGTCAAATTGGATGGGCGATGCATTGATATTCTTATTTACTCAACTTTTGACTCATGCTAAAATGAATACTAGCGGCTTAGATTACATGGTCAAATATTGGCTTTGTTGATGTGTAGCTCAGTCTATAATGTATGATATACTGCAATAAATGAATTATGCAGCATCTATGAATAAGAATTCAGCGAAAACTCATTAAAATCGAACACCTTCACCCGCTAAAAGCAAGGGAATTTTCTCAAGAGCCTCTCCTTCCACATCATCTGGGCTTGTTTGAAGTGCAACTAACATTGCAGATTCTGAGTCTCACAAGAAAGGACAAGGAAGCAAGGATGAAGCTGAAAGCAGAAAACAGGAGGACGATAACTACGATTGGTAAGATCACATGCTGAGAAGAAATCAAAGATCAAAAGCGATATCCAGGCGACTCTTTATAATACTAGCAATCATTGCTGGTATACTTGTGCTGATAGTAATTCCAATCTTGCTTATAATGATAATCGCGAAGAATGCCCACAGAAAAAGAAGAGCTGTCATAGCCAATGGCGACGTTTCAAAGAGAAGTGCAAGAAGTTCCAAGAGAAGCGCTAAGAGCAAGAAGAGCGCGAAAAGTGGGAAGAGCGCGAAGAGTGGAGCAAGTGCCAAGAGCGGAAAAAGTGGAGCCAGTGGCAAAAGTGCTGCAAGTGGCAAAAGCTTTCGATAACGCCCAATATCCAATAAATGTGGACTGATGTATAAAAGCTTATTCACTGATGTATTAAAGCTTATTCACTGGTGTAAAAGTTTACTCTTACACAATTAGCATCTCGCTGTTTCATGCACTGCACTATTAAAGTTCTTTGTCATCAGTGAAACTCTTCTTACCGCTATCACGGGATCTTTGTAAAGGTAAGATGAAACTTTCCCATTGTTGGGCAACAGCCTTTACTGAGCCAGAGTTCAATACGTTGACGACCGCCACACGATGGTACACAGCAGCCTAATTCCATTGTTCAATTCTACTCTTTCTTGTGTCAGCAAAAACCATGAGTAGAAATTTTGTACAGGAAACTCTCTTCCTCGTAACACTTAACCCACGTGGTACAACGACTTTCTGCACAATGCACGGACGAATACGCTGGTGAGTGCTACGCGATCATCCCCCCCCCCAAGCTATGCTCTACCCCTCAATAGTAAGGTTCGCCTACTTTTTTTGATTTGCCCAAATTTGCACCGATTTCACAAACTTATAACGATTCTGAGCAGTTTGAAGAAGTGCACGCTTTTAGCATGCTAAAGTATCTAAGCGTACATGTACCTCGCATAGGTGCACTCCCATGATAACATACATATAATTGCACAAAAACGTCTCGTCTCAAAGGACAGGGATTAAAAAATGGCTTGCTGAGAAGCTGAGATTGAGAAGATAACCAGCGCAATACTTTTCTGTTTGCCATCTTTGAAGCTAGACAAAAGAAGCCACTATACTTGAAATGACAAGAGATATAGTAATTAAACCTTATCCTGACATGGTAAATGTGTAATGCAAATCGGAAAACATCATTTTGCGCAATGTTGACTAGCATCATGTATTCACAAAAATTCAATCTTGATTATAAAGCTCAACATTTTGCACACTGTCACTACAATAAATAACAATGAACAACAGAACGATGCACACAAAATGCAATCATATACTCTACATACTACGAAAACTTTTATCATTCTACTGCGGTGTTGTTCCCATGTTGAGCACCACGTTCATTCGCAAATGGACACAAAGATCGAGCATATAGCGCTCCTACTACTGCGGTAAGTATACCGAGATGTCCAGCCTTACCAAAAATTGATGAGAGCCTTTCTGCTAGCGAGATAGTGTGCCTGGAAATAAAAGGTTCGTTAATTGTTGAAAAATGACTTGCGCATGATCTCTGCAATCCCTGCAAATAGTCTTACTCACCATCTACTATTAAGATGTAAAAAAAGCTATGGCAAAGCAATGCCGGACTTCAACCGAAAGGTCGAAAGAACAAAAATAAACCATACTTATTCTTTTTCCAACCTCATATATTCAAATCGAAAGTTTCTTCTAACCCATTCTAGTTACCAGATATATCTAAATCATTTCAAATGCAACTGCACAAATTTTTGTTTCAAAAAAATCAATTTGATTTATGAGCAGAATGAGGTTGGGATTGCTCTTTTTCTACGGAGACACTGTCAGCCACGACACTTCCCACTAATCTTGATGTCCTCAAATGATGTTTTTTCGTCTTTTCTAGAGTGATTGTGCGAATTTTGAATAATTTCTCAATTCTATTTTGTATTTGTGCATTGGTAAATATCAAAGTGTATGATTTTACTAAATGACGCTATGTCACTATTGTGACCATCTAACTCACTCATTTTTCAACGATGCTGGATTCAAAGGAGGGCCTGGTTGCATTGAGTACATGAAGTGAAGAACAGCATCCTATAATATAACGAAAAAGAATAACTTCATAATGCACAACGGTACCAATTACATTAAATATCTTATACAGGGTGTCCCAAAAAATGTGAACACTGTTTGATTGTTAATAACTCCCTTGCTTTCATGTCCTTCGTCGAGCTTGAGAAACCATTCTATAGAGCAAGGTTTAACTTAGATTTACAGTATGGAGCGAATCATCTACTGCTCTTCATTACTGTAAGATTACGGTAGGAACTTGGACAAGGATTTTAGGTTAATGAAGGTCACATTCCGCCTCGGAACAAGACCAAACAAGCCAAAAACTTCTATACTAAGGTAATGGAAGCCGCTGATTTCGAATATGAAATTTCCATTTTACTGTGATGCCTCTTTCCAAGGTTATCCCAGGTAAACCGAAATAACTGAATTTCCAGCACTTGTCAGAAATGTGAATACACCGTCAAAAAGCTAAAAACACTCATAAAAAGTTGTATAATGGAATCAGCGTGCGCAAAAACCCCGGTACACGATTTTTCAGATTTTTTGAAAAAATTTTGTCAAATGGCATATTTCACTGCAGATCCACATGCTAGAAGTTCATACCGTAATCCTACAGTATCGAACAGCGATCGGTGATTCGTTCCATACTACAAATCTAAGTTGAACCTCGCTCTACAGAACGGCACCTCAAGCTCGGCGAAAAACATGAAAGCAACGGAATTATTAACGATCAAACAGTGTTCACATTTTTTTGGGACACCCTGTATTTGTCTGCGTGTATGTATGTGCTGTGTGACTGTACGTTTGTTCCAAATAGAAGATTTTTTTACCAAATTTTGCACACATATACCTCGAGCAGGGTGGTGTCACAGAATATTTTTCGTTATCGATCAATATCGATTTTTTGCAAAGTTCGGGCTACGAGGCTGGGAGTTGGCACAGGGGGGGGGTATATGAGCACGCTGACAAAACGGATAAAGAACTGACATAGTGGGCACAAAGAAGGGTTGTGCAGGACTAAGGATGGTGACCTTTCTTTAACAGGCCTGGGTAGAGCCGGGTACGCCAGCTGTGTCAACAACACCAAGGCAAAACAATGATTTCAAATTGTGTAAAATACATCTCTGTTGTTTTACTGAAGCTTGTAAACTGTAGCATTTCACAACATCAGACAAAGAAGTAGGAAGCAAGACTTTAGACAATAATTCAATCCTCATTCTTCAAAGGCAGTGGCTAGGCAAAAAACATCTAGAAATTTGGTAGGTTGCTTCCATACTTATGAAAACAGAACAAGTAGGAGCACACAGCATGCTGTCCCTTCAAACCCATGCGCGCAAGCAATTCTTATACGCGCTCGCGCGCCTCCCACCGTCGGAAGCGGAATGCCGCAGCGTTATAAGAGCGTCCCGCGACGACTCTGCTTCTCCCAACTTTGGCGAAACTGTCCCATCCATGATGAAGGGCCTTGGAAAATGTTGTTTTCGCCATTTTCGTGCTCTGTGAGGTGTTTTATTCCAAATAACCAGGATTTTAGGTTGAATATTTGAAGATCCACTACATTCAACATCGAATCGGTGGATTTGCACTCACCTGAACTGATGTTGGTACTAAGCTAAGTGGTATAAAACAGAAGATAGCGTCCCATCCTGGTGCATACCTAGAAAGTAATGAAAATTCTAAAATCAGTATTATCATTGGCAAGCCAGCGTTTCCTTCATTCTTACCTTAATCTTGGCCAAGAGGCAAACAATGCATGAACGTAACTGTCCACAACCCAATGGAGATTTGGATTTGCCACCAAATTCACTCCTGTTTGCCATGCGACTTTGACTGCAAACAGACAAATCAAGATGGAATCGAATTCGATATTGAGTAGACTAATAAGGAAAAACAAATAGGCATTGTTGTTAGTTCAAAAAGCAAAAAGGCCCTTCAAAAAGCATACAGAGTTTTGCTTGTGAACAACTATTTTGCAGGCGACTTCTGCATTCAAAAACGTTTGAAAAATCCTGAGCATAGAAATGAGGGTACCATTTATTACTTCGGCTTGGCTCTCTTTTCAGAATCGCTTTGTGCTCGCAAATTATGAGGCCACTAACAATCTTTGTAAGCTGGCAAAACATTTGTAAAAGTTCGTTACTTTGGAATTGGAAACCCTACAGATAGCTGGTTATACTTTCAGTCAAAAAAAAATTCATTTTTTTTGCGTTGAAATTGAATACACCATCCATCATCTGATACCTAGATATGCACTGGTCAAGCTTAAATCATTTCTCCCCAAAATCAGTTGTTTTGGGATTGCTTGGTAGTTGTGATAACAACAACTTACAGTTTTCTTTAAATTGCTCTCCATACTCGTTTTTCACTGCTGTGGGCAATCTTTCCCATATCTAAACTGCGTCAATGAAATGTATTTTCTTCTTTCTGTGTTTATATAACACAGGGTGTCCCAAAAGTAAGTACACACTTTTCAATCGTTAATATCTCTCTTCCCATCGTGTCTTTTGCCTCCATTCAAATATCTTTCTGTAGAAGAGGCTTCAACTTAGATTTACAGTACCGCGCGAATCACCAATCGCTCTTCGTTACTGTGGGATTACTGTAGGAGCCTCGACAAGGATTTTAGGCCCTTAGAAGCCATATTCTGCCTAGGAACAAAACCAAACAAGCCAAAAACTCTTATACTATGGTAATTGAACCCAATAATTTCGACATGAGATTTCCACTTTACTGTGATGCTTCTTTCCAAAGTTAACCCAGGTGAACTGTGATAACCGAATTCCCAGTATTGTTAGAAATGTGATTACACCGTTAAAAAAGCTGAAAACACTCGTAAAAAGTTGTGTAGTGGAATCAGCGTGCGCGAAAACCCCAGTACACAATTTTGCAAATTTTTTGAAAAAATTTTGTCAGATGGCATATTTTAAAATAGTTCCACAAATTGAAACTTTTTACCTAATTCTACAGTAACAAAGGGCGACCGGTAATTCGTTCAATACTAAAAATTTAAGTTTGATCCTCCTCTACAGAACGGTACTTGATTGGCAAGAAAAGACCCATTGGGAAGAGAGATATTGACGATTGAAAAGTGTGTACTAACTTTTGGGACACCTTGTATTCTAAGCATGTCCTGCGGGCCAAACCTACCCGATTGACTCGAACATGTTGAGCCTCTTCGCTGAGTAGTTCAGTTTTAAATGCTCCCGGCTCTAAGATATGGACAGAGACCCCAAATGGGCGCATTTCCAGTCGCAAACAATCCATGTAGGCTTCGACAGCAAACTTCGCTGTTGCATAGGGGGCCATGTATAGGCCGTGAAGGCGTCCAGCGGTCGAGCCCATTGTTACTATTCGTCCCTAAAGCTATGGCAGGTAAAATGAAACCGGCCAAATTAAATCTTTCTCTTTCTAATTTTCGGATAACTTTTGTTTTTCAAAAGTAAATGTGGAGCTATACATCAGGTTTCAGGATTTTTTCCTAATTTAGCCCCAAATTCAGTCCTTTTTAGGTGTCTACAAGAGTCCTTGTACGAATATATGGTCGCATTACTGGATGTAAGTGCTATGTAACTCCGTGGGTAGAAAGAACTAAGGACCGCTAGGAGCAGAATTCTCCTTTGAACAAAATGTACATACCTTACTCTTCTTCACCAGTGGCAGGAAGTTATGGCATACGCGCACGGTGCCAAGTGTATTCACATTTAACGATGCCAGGTACTCATCTGTTGAACACCAGTCATCTGGTCCAAATATGGTAAACACTCCTGCGTTGTTCACAACCCCATGTAATTGTGCTTTCTGAAAATTTCAAAATCAAATCCAAATCAATAGAAGGAAAGAAGAAGTAGAAGTAGAAGAAGTAATCATAGAAGTAATCCACAAACCTGCTCAGTAAGAATCTTTTCTACCTTCATGCGTGCTTCGTTGACGCTTTCATCTTTCGTAACGTCGATTTGTATAGTGTACAGCTGCCCACCTCCAAATCGGCGACTTTGTTTGATGAGATCTTCACGACCCTAGAAAAAAGTTTAAATGACTTTATTTCCAGCTTTCAGTGATAATCGGTTGCGCTCGGGTTATTTTATATAACCAAAAAGGTTCAAAAAAATTTTCCAAACGGCCCTTGCTTTGTTACGTTGTACTCGCTGAGAATTTCTGCTATCAATCCCATTCTATAAAGAACCACAACTTTTCACAACATTTTCCTCTTTTTTAAGTTTCCATTTTCTTCAGAACAAAATCAGATGATTACTTGCTTCAAAGGCACCGTCCACCCGAAATGGGATCTATGAGATTTTGATGTCTAACAGTTGCGGGGCCCCCAACTCGCGCTCCTGAATGCTTCCAAAGCGAGAAAATCGCTTCGAAAATCCGCATTCGTTATGTTGGCTCCTCCTTAGCAAGTAGACGGTGCGTCCGCCCCGCCCACTCAGTGATTTCGCCTAGCAGGCGCAAAGCTCAAGAGAGTGCGTCTCTGCTCTGCGACGGGTCCGCAGCTGGCCCGCGGCTGACCGGCAGGCGCAAGGAGTATATACTCTTCTACTGCGGAATTTGGAGGGCATTCAAAACTAGTTAATTTGAAACTTTCGTTCAATTTTAAGCCTAGATTCGGACTCGATAGGTGCAAAAATTGCTTAAAAAAGGATAAAAACTTAAATCGAGGATTTAGGTGGACGGTGCCTATAGGAAGAATTTTCCTTTATCGTTTGAATATAGAAGTCTCGATCACCCATTGAATCACTTCTACCATCGGCTTCCCGATTGCCGCGAGGGCGGTCGCGATGGTCAACCGATAATCAATTTATCAGCTATGTTTCAATACAGGGCAACCGCATCGCTGACACGCTCGCTCGCGTCCGCCATCGCGGCATTCGGGGAGCCGATGGTACTTTGAATCAGGTCAGAAGCTAAGGCGAAGAATCCAAAGCGCACCTCTGAGCATGTTATCATCTATACAAATTCCGATAATGCAATAACTTACGAATATTTTAAATTTTCAAAAACAAAATCTAAGAAAACATAAGCATCGAGATTGCTTGCAAAATTCTCAAACTGACTAATAGACGAAACGTATGCATTCTTCGAAATGCAGAATAAACATATGTACAAATAAACATCCGTTTGCTAGATTTTTTTTTGGAAAATGAATCGACAAAGCGTGGCGATGGGAAAATTTTCCGTGGTTGGGAAGAGGGCTGAACAGAAAATTTCCTAAAATGAAGGCTTATGTGAGCCATAAGCTCCGCCGAAGAAATTTCGGAATGCGCGCAAAATTGTTCGGCACAATCCCAAAATTTGGAAGAAAAAAGCTAGTTACAAGCTCAAAAACGTTTTGCAATATTGATTCAAAATTTTCAACATTCCTGAAATTTGTTTTGAGCAGGGTGAAATTACTGGTACAAGCTTAAAACATTCTGGCCAATATAAAAATTTTATGGTCCAGTCTCGGATGTTAGAGACTGTAGGCTTGGAAACTTGAGACCATCCAGAGAAAAAGAGAAAAAAAAACAAAGTCATCTTCAGCATACCATTGTGACCTCGGTATTTACCAACGGTGTATTTTAGTTGATGGCAAGCACGATAATAATATAAGAAATTGATAAAATTATTTGATACAGTTTTTGGACAATTCAAAACAAGTTTATCATTCTACCAAGCTACAATGTAAAATCAATTCCAAAAAATTCTAGACTGAGCTGCCAAATTCCAAATTTACTCCTTCTCCTCATTTGTAGCTTTCAGAACATATTTTTAGCCAGTTGCTTCTCGATTCTTGGTCTTAACCACTTCAAAATTCTCTTGAACATCTTAATTATACGGCACTCACGCGCATTGCGCAATTCCGATGCCTGACCTGGATTTTGCGGTGAAAACATCATTGGAAGAGAGGCGCTGGCGCAATCAAAACCCGTTCGTTATGTGCAAAAAAGGTTCAATATGAAAACTTGTCAACTGATCATAAATTTCTTGAACTTGCCAGTTTATATGGCTACTTAACCATGAGTTATAATTCTTTATGCGACAAAAATGCGGAAGAGAAACTTGATAAATTTTGCGAAGAAAAAAATTTGATCCGCGTTTGATCTGCTGCTGAGGTTCTCTAAATTTCGGAAGAGAGATTTCAGGTCAAAAAAGCTGAAATTTTGTGGCAACTTTGTTTTCAACCTCAGGTAGTACGAAGCCATTGGTAGCGAACCACATTTTACATTTGAAAAATATGTTATTCTGATCTTAATCCTTACCTCATTTAATTGATTTCTGTAAGAAAATACCGGCACAAAGTTGATTTTTTGATTCTGGTAGATTCACGTTTTCAAACCTTCATTTTGAAATTTCTTCCTTCCACAGGCAGTCAATTTTGACCAAATAAAAAAAAGTAATAAAAAATTAGTATAATATCTCTCATTCGCCCTATATAATGAGAAAAAAAACTAAGTTTCCTGATAATCACCTGTTCCGTATAGCATCCAGCAAACACATTCACTCCCATTCGTAGCAGTTTTAGCGCTAATAATCGTCCAAAACCACTATCACAGCCGGTAATGAATACATATCGTCCGATGTAGTCCACATAGAAATGTTCAAGAATTAGCCTCTTCAAGATAAAATACGCAAATAGCGCAGATGCCATCCAAAGCAGGACGGACAGCATTGGGTTCCTAAAAAAATAGAAATAAATTGAAAAATATAACGCTTGTGATAAGTATGCTTTTGGAGATCGAAAAAATCTGTGTGACGATTAGTTATACAAATAGCCATAAAAAAGGAGAAAAAGAAAAGAAAAAAGGTAAAGATTTTAGATGAAGCCACTGAGTATAAATGAGAAAGATGGGAAGAACAAATAATAATGAAAGTATTTTTACAATGTTAAATACCCAACCAAAGCAGATATGAAAAATTGATCAAATCAACGAAAAAAAATAATTGAGGCAGAAGGTCTTGAAAACTATGTTTGTAGAACTAGAGTAATTACAAAAAAAAAAGACTGATAGAAGCATTGAAAGGCTTTTAGCTGAGTATTGTTGAATCGGTAATCAGATAATTCCACAAATTAATCGAAAAGTTTCGATTTAAGTTCGTTTGAAGCGAATGAGCAACAAAGGCTATTTTTGTATATAAGTGAAAGACATGAGGTCGTAAGGACAGAATCTCTACGAAATTCTCTCGAAATGGATGAGCAAGTCCTATTAGTCCTGCGCGGGACGTTCTTACTTTAAAAGTGTCGTGTGCTCTTAGGGTCACGAAAAATCGGCGTTCTTTTGTCAGATCTCTAGAGAAAAACACGCAAGATGTAGTCTAGAAATAGACGGACGTCCAGAATTTCCAGATGAAAAAAACGAAAGTGAGTATAAGGAAGAGGAAGGCAAGACATTTTGAATAACATTATTGGCAATAACATGGAATGTTCGCACGTTGATTATACAGTCTCGCCTGACAGTGGCTAAGACAAGAGAAGAAAAAAAAAGATTGTGGGAAAAAGACTGTTTGCCAAGTTTCACTTTGTGGTCACCAAATAAAGAGAACTTCAAAGTTTTCTGGAATCCTGGGATTAACGATGAGGCATCTGGAAAGCACTTTAATTCTTTAGATGCTTCCAGGATTTTCTTTCAAACCCACAGTTGTGGAAATGACACTTCTTGACTATAAATAACGATATACATACATGAGACTAATCTGTTGAAAAATATGTATCCATTAAAAGATTCCACAAATAGCGGTTTGCCTCCCGAATCGGAGTACTCTTATGTGCTCGTGCGCTACCAGAAAAATGACTGAACCAGACATTCTAATGTGATGAACATAAAATCTTTAGGCCATTCTAATTTTTGGACATATATGGTGTGCATGATGGAGATAAAAAGGTATAACAACCATTTGAAGTGCAGTAGGATGATATATTTGACATACTATATTGTAAAGCCATCTCGACTCGTCTTTCATATAATTGGCTCTAATATAATTTGATCATAGAAGACAATGTTTATATCACGAAATCATGCAAATGAACAATTTTAGTAAGCTGCACAAGTTTCACTATTTTTTTCATTTTGAATACCTCATGAAATTTTCAAACTGTCTTGGTTGGCCTCTATATAAGAAAAAAGTAAAACAAGCAAGCAGCAACAAAGAAGCAGTAAAATCTGGTAACACAGTAGCAAACAAAATCTACTTGCGAATGTTCGAATCGGTGAGCATTGAATGCTCTCTATTTCTTGATGGTTCCTATATGGAATGGCGGCGCTTGTATAAAATCTTTCAGTGGGCGAAATGAGCAGAATGAACGTAATTCTGGTTAGCAGAATCTTATTGCTATTCCCTTTCTCTCATTTTTTGATTGATCTGACTCTCTGATTAAAGATATGAAGTAGCACAAGTCATTCATTCTAAACAATCGTGGAAACTGGGAAATATAGAGCAAGCTTTTTCTAAAATTCTTGTGGTGCTATGAATTTTCGAATGTTTGTTGTGGCTACTGGTTAGGAAATAGCATTTTGATGGCAATGCACATCGACACATATAAATGTCGATAACCACATTTTCTACTGCAACACAGCAAAAAGTCAAAATGACTGTAAAATATCGAACCGGTCCTTATTGTTGAAAGAAATCTTATAGGCTTTGTGGTTGTAACGTCACATCCCTGTAGAGGATATCTTTATCAATAGAATAACAGATATATGCAAGGCGACATAAAAAATTTGAGCCAAAATTTTTTTTCTCGGAATAGCAGTTTCTGCTATATAAGTTGTTACATGTGGAGTAGAAGAACTTGATGTAAGATTGAATAAAGTATTTTAGAAGATTCTTCTTCATAGGTAAAAATATTATTAAAAATTATATGTGTGGTAAGCTTCTAGTGACGTTCCAATTTTACGAATGCTGAAGCGTAACCAAATCGAACATATAAGTCATATGAGACCTAACTTGAAATGTTTAAAAGACGTTGATTAGATGTATCGGTCGTTTGTCACATACTGGAATTGGTTGAAATTATGAAAAAGCTTGAGAACTCTTTTTTCTTGACGAAAATTATGTCAAATAGGACTAAACTTGATATTTTGCGTACGATGAAATTCATAGGGTCTATGCTCATCCTCATTTTCCCGATTTTCTATAAAATTAGCAATTATGCTAGGATATTGTAAAGTCAACTCATTTTTTTTCATTTTATTGGCTAAATTAATTTGATTTTTCTCGGAGCGGAAAGTTTACAGAAAAGAATAGAAGGCAAAAAAATATATGGAGAAAGTTCCAGGTTTGCTTGAAATGGAGGCGTTTGGATTTTTTCATCCCCATTGCTTAGGCAAAAAAATTATTCTAGGAAATATCAATGTGCATGTGGTTGAGCATGTGATAGCATGAGACTTGAGATAAATAAGGAAAAGACGGTCCCGAAATTTTTAGGAAACATTGGTCATCAACTAATTTTGTAATACACAAACAACACCTAGAGAGCAGGTTAAGAAAATTGGAAAAGAGCAGTTCGTAGCAGCATAGAGTCAAATAATCATAGATGATTGGACCTGACTGTGTGCTCTGTGTTCTGGAAATAATATATTGTTTCTAGAAGAGACGAAGACAGCGGAGAAATGCAAAAACTAATGCATGCCTAAAGTCCATAGGGGACAGGACTAAACCCCGCTGATAGAATTTGACCCCCTAAATATCCTTCTCAATGATTTGTCCAGCTAAACCGAACATATGTACAAAGACACTAGAGACGTCTTCGTTGCGTTCGACCACTCCATAGAAAAAGAAGTCATTCCGGTAGCGGGGCCGAGGTGACGAAAATAACGTATAACGTGCGCTGCGGTAGGAGAAGACGATTGTTCGATCGCGTCGACCAATACGGTCCATTGATGGAGAGAGGGCTCGAACAATCGCCGGAGATACTTTAGGGGGTCTGCGGGTGGCGATCGGACGTCGAGGTTCGGGGGAACATCACCGCGTATCCGAGAGAAGGAGGTCGTCTCTGCGCATCCGATTGTATAGAGTTTCTGAGTGTTCTTTGCTCGATCGGCTGCAATCGGCCCCGCTTACGGGGTTTTCCGTATCGCTAACATTCACCTTCCTCCATCCCCCCCCCCTTTTGAGAGAACGGGTCTTGTGACTGGTCAACGTGAATTGTGGTTAGCTTTGATTGCACACAATCAAAATCATTCCTCACATTTGAAAATTCAATTTTTATGAAAAGAGGTTCTTTAAAGGGGAAGTGGCTGCCACGCTCCCGTTCCCCACCCCCTACGAGATACCAGAGTTACATTGCAAAGTTGAAAAAATTCCAAGATCCATCCCAATCAATCGATTGGGGGATAGGGCTATAATTATGCCCCCTTCGTAGAATATAAGAAAAGAAGAACTTTGTTTTCTTCATTCTTTTCCCAACTCGCAAATTGTGAGTAGCAAAGTAATGCAGTGACTTCATTCCGACAGCAGATAGTCAAAAAAATTTTTATGAATTTTGAAGGTGACTAAATTAACCTTGAAAAAGCTTTCTCTGACAGGGAATATTTTTGCCTAAGAAATCTGAATCATGAAGATATGCAAGTAGCTTATCTGCAATGGAGGTGATCATAAAAACTTTATTAATTTCAAAAAAAAATCGTTTGAGCAAAATTTTTGCGTCGCTCCGTTTCCTCCCCCCTCAAAAAATGAGTCATAATTATATTAGTCAAGCAATTATCAATTCAAAAATGGTGCAAACATTGCAAAAAATATTCTGAAAAAAGTTGCTCCTTTTTGATGATTCTCGGTCTAAAATCTTGAGAAGCGTTTCATTTTTGGTGTTTTGGCTAATGCCGCACCCTATATATGGCAAAAGTTTTGTAGCCTTCTATCCAACAGAAAAATCTAGACTGCAAATCTCTTCTGAGAATAGCGCTGTATCGTTCGAGGTGTTCTGTGTGTTCTGTGCAAACTCTGGGCTCTCTCACACCTTTGAGGTCAATGGAGATGATGGACTTGCGTTTTTTGGATGAGCACGGCTCGTTAAGCAGCTCTCAGCTAAGGTCAATGAGTGCAAACAGAGCTGATGGTTGTGTCTACGTGGGGCTAAAAAGTCTTTGAGACGTCCAAGATAAGTATATAACCTAAATTAGGCAAAATCATTCTGCTTCACCACAAGAAACTTTTTATGTTGTTTGCAAGTTCTGCTAGAACAAAGCATCTCTTCCCCGGAAGTTTTTACCTTTTCTGTTGGCTTCTATACTGTTTTCAATAAGAGATTTTGAAAAAAAAATGAAGAACGCTGAAAATCTTCTCTTCGAATTCTCACCTAGGGTGATATGAAGTAGAACTGCTCTCAGTTGATACCTTATGGCAGGATCAAGGTAGCCATTTAGTTTTCGAAACTGCTTGTGCTGATATGAAAGTAATCTAAAGTTTTTACTTCTGTTCCTTGAAGTCCTTGATATGAGCTTCAAAAAATATTGGCTTTCAGTAAACGAAAATCAACGAATAAACTTTTCGTTGTTTTCTTTGCTTTACGATGTAGACACAGCTTGATAGTTTATACTGCCGATTACTTATGTTGTCTTTAGATATTTCCCTAGCAAAATTTTGATGCTTATTTTTTTTAAACAAACACTTTTTGAGGTGAATGGGTTTAGTCAAGGATTTCTCCAAATTTGAATCCACTAATTTAAGATTATCAGCGAATCACTTAGCATCCTTTGATGTTGAAAAAAGCTGTGGATTTTGGGAATACTGTAAACCAATGTCATCTTTTCTATTAGGGTCCAAGAGTAATTCCGTATTTTTTTGCCGGAGCCCAAACACTCTTTTTCTACGAGAAATTGTTTCAAGCTAAGCTTTTAGGCTCCATGAAAAAATGTCAGGTTTTCAATGGCTATCGCTACTACACCTAAATTTCCATTTTCAGAAGTTTTAATGCAAACTTTCACCATCAAATAAAGAACTATGTTTTTTTTTTTTCGAAGAGGTTTTTTTCGAAGAGCTTGGCTTACCAGCACAGCTAGCCTAACTTGGACTCAAATCCTTGGACCACATTTTGAAAGCGAGATAGCTTTGGAATTACAATTGTCCTCCCATAATTGGAGTTTCAATGACCGAGCGTTCAACGCTCCGAAGTTAATAAATTTGATCATTTGCGGCACCTTATATTCCTTTTTTGCGAAACTAGTACTTTGCAATAAAAGATCTTGCAAAACTGCAGAGATCTGGTGAGAACCTTGCAGCAGTCCTTTTTTGTTCTGTTTGCTTCATCCATCTCTGACTTGGTTCCCTTCGGATATACTGAGAAAATTCGGAACTCGATCGTGGCTAAAATCATTTGCAGACTCCAGTCTCTTTCTAAGACTTCGCTCGCTGTATTGCAACGGAAACATAGCTATTTGGAAGAGGGTAAAAAGCTCCATTAAACATGAGTCTTTGTTTCGCTAGATGTGGCGCAGAAAAAGCGAATCCTCGGATCAGGTTAGCAAATAATGAGTGGATGTCCTTGAATCAGTACTATTTGTATACCTTTAGCAAGGCAACTTAAGTGTTTAGGTTAGTAACTCACACAACTGACCGGGACTTCGGCAGAACGTTTGGGAAAGTTCCGCCGGATCACCTGCGGAAGTTCCGTGAACGTGCTGCGTAAATTCCGAAGAATGCGAACCACAGCAGCAAGAACACCGAAGCGCGATTTAAACCTTACTCTATCGACTGTGAGACTCATTTACTATCCTCTGCACTGCGACTGACATGTTCGATAATGCACTCTAGTCGTTGGCAGGCAACATTATTTTAGACTGCACATTCAAAACCCTGCGGAAGTACTGGCATGTCAAAGTACTGCGAAACCGCTGGCATTCTTCGGAATTTCCGCAGCGCTTTGTAAAAAATCCTGCGGAAGTTTCCGTTCTCAACGTTTCCAATTTTGCAACAGTAAGTCAGCAAAATCCTGCGGAACCGCTGCAAATTCTGCTTGCACTGCGGAAGTTCCGGTGAATTGTCTGAGATACAATGCCAAAATCTAATAGAGGAACCGACTGCAATAGCATAAACTGTAAACCCATGGCTGTCTTTTCTCATTTCAAAATAGAAACGTGTTCAAAAAGCACAACTCTGGAATAGTCTCTGTAGCCGCTAACAATTTTATCCAACAACAGTGAATTCAGACACAAAATTCTTTATTTTGATATAAAGATAAATAAAGCAATAATGAGACAACAAATGCTCTGCAGAGCTATAGAAGATGTAAAAAAAAATGTGGATAAGTGAACTGAACCTGTCAAAACATTTCATCACATAAATTAAGAGCAAAATACAAATATATACAAAGCAAACTGAGCACCAAAATGAGATAGCACAAAGACAAATGAACTTATACGGACTCAAAGCTGAGATTCTATGACCTGTTCTGGCTAGTTGACGTGCGCATTCTTTAGCCTTGTCCTCGGCCTTTCCTTCCAGAGAAAGCATCTAGAAAATAGAATAATTGAAGATTTGTTGATAGGTTCAACTATTACTCTCACTGGAATTCTCATCGTTTTCTTTTTGCCTGTTTTCCAATTCGGTTATTTCCAGTGTCTTCGTGATCTTCTTTTCGGGAACTTCCGACACTTTATCATCCATCCTAGCACATCCAATCTAAGCAGATAGCTTGCGAATGCTATTTTTTCTGTTGTACAAATTTGACTGAAACCAGTAACGAACCGTCAGCAACAAAGCGGGGAGGAAAACAATTCCGTGTAGGAGACCGAGTCCAATGACCAGATAGATTGTTTTTGTAAAGACGTAGACCATGTAGGAATCAATCAACAAAAGCGGAGAAATGCAAAATATTGTTGAACAGCCAGCTTGAATCATCGGCCACCCTATCGATCTAAATGTCAGAGATGTCATAAAAAAAATCTTATTTAAAACTGTTTTAGCGGATTTATTTTCGGTTTACTTCCGAAGAAAGAAGTTGAACTTCTCAAGATCAGCAATTCGCATTTTAGTTGAATATACATGTCGAAAGTAACGCTGTTCCGTAGAAATAAAGACACTTTCGGAACCTCGTAGATAGTTATGGTCTGAGAGGTTGCTTTGGGAGAGGGAGGGAGGTGGCAGAGGGGGGAGGGGGAGAGTGAAGTAACATCAGAATATTGTCCGTTGAGTAGCGTAATATTATCGAAGCTCTTCGAAGAATTTTGTTTGGTATCCAAATCTTGTGCTACATTGCTGGTGGCTGTTATCAAATGGGGCGTAAAGGAAACTCAAAGAAAACATTGATTTTTCTAATTACCTTGACTCTTTGAGAACTTATGATTTTATCATATTTTACCGCTGATATGATACTTAGTACAAGTTTGTATGCCTATAGACCACTTCAAAAATTCTTGTTCCCCATCTTCCCCCTGTCCTCCTAGCGCCCCCTCCGACACCATCACCTGGCCAATGTGCTAGAGTACTTGTCGTTATCTTCACCTTGGCTCCTAATTTGTTTTATGGAAGTTTACATGATTCACAACGTTTGCTTTTAAAACTGTCTTACTGATCAATGTCAGGAGCAATCTACAAATGTCGCGTTGCAAGCTGATATCTGTTAATCTCTGCATAAAAATTATGGAATGACGACCTTTATTTTTCCTTGGGAAGATGAAACATTATAAACTACTTCCTTTACCAATACATGTACAGGTTATTTTGATAGTATGGTAAAACTGTCACCTCAAGGCATCTGCTAGTCGCTCATCCGTAGTCCATGATATCGGATTTCGATAGTAGTGATAGCTTATATGTGCTGAAAACAAAAGGAAAAGTTGTTGATTCCATACATGATGTCTTACAACAGATCTCGTGGTGTAAGAATGCAATGTGTCAGAAACTTGTACAATGGACAAAATTGGTTTCGATTTAGATTAGAGGACTACAGTTGGAAAAGCTTGTAAATCTGTGGTGCACGATGTGATTTTTTTCTGCCGCCTCACACGAAATTTTACTGCTCATAAGTGATTTTGGTATGCGTTGGGTTTCATCAATATCGTTCAGATTGAGTCTTACTCGGGTAGAAACCTTTCTAATACGAGTAAGTGCAGCAAATATCATACCTGTAAAGTCCACTGAAAAGCCTATACTCATCAAAGTTGTGCACATGGATATTGGATCAAGGTTGACATCCCACAATGATAACAATCCGAACACTCCAATGTTGATAGAAAGCATGGCAATGGAACTGCGAAACGAAAATTGTGTGAAGTTTTGTTAGAGCAACCGATTGCTTCATTTGATCCAAGGAGCTGGATAACCCCATTCCTGATCGTGATCGATTTTCATTAGATTACAATGAATTTATTTATTATGTATGCCGATTTGCGGTGTTGGGTCGCTCATCACGCATTACAAAGCCGTCACCTTTCCGGAGAAAAATTCGTCTTTTTTGCAAAATGCAAAGGTAACCTGTTTTGCTTGAGTCTTGCAAAAGTTCCTAAACAAATTACTAAAGCGCTGTAAGATCACTAAGAGTTGTAACGTGGGGCGGTTTTTGTCTGCATCGCTATACGAAAATGAGACAGACAAGGCAGTTCTAAAGTTAAGTTGTATGTCGGCCTGTCATGGAATATTAGGTTGATTCATAATTAATGCACGTTTTTCTCACCTCTTCTTCCAGGTGCTGGTATTTGACGTGTAATCAATCTCCTCAGAAACCTTTTATGCTATCTAAAAGAGCGTTTTCTCTAGTTTCTTATGCGGCCCTTCGCTTTCGTAAATCTCCGTTCATTCCAAAGTTCTGAGCCTTCAAATAAAAGAGACTAAATCCCAAAATTTTTGCTTTTCACTCTTTTTGTCCTAAATCCATGATGAATAGCCGGATTGATTTCAAAAAATATGCACAGGGATTAGAAAACTTTGTGCTACAAGATGCTTTTTGAACAAAATTCTCCATGAATTCTGAGCCGAGAAATTCAATTGCGAACTTGAATGATTGTCGCGGCCCTTCCGCGCCATATAAAACTTTGAAGCAAAAGGCGATTGCAGGTCTTTTGTACTATCCAACAAGGGTAGACCTAGTTCATTTGATGGTAGAAAAGCGCTAGGGTTTTCTCTCTTTCCAGCGGAGAAAAATGAAATAATTACAAAAATGACCGATTTTTGAACCTGCCGAGATGACAGAAAAAGTGAGTACTTTCGACTTTTTCGCGATATTTTCTTTCAAAAATTTTCCGTTGAATCCAAACTTGGCATTACTGCTTAAGAGACAATTGGCTACACGAAGAGCAAAGACTGCTTTATCCTACTTCATTTCAACGTAAGTTATGCTCTCTCAATGTGGAGGTTCCGAAAAAAGTTGTTGGCAATCTTCAGGCTAGAAAATCTTTCTTGTGATAGAAACAGTCACGCAAAAGCATCTGTTTTATAGCCACTGATTTGTTGGTTACAGTAGTTTTTATTGCGCCTAGAAATGTCTTTTCAAAAAGGAATTATCTCGATTGAAATTTGAAGTATAGAAAACGTGCATTAATTATGAATCAACCTAATATTTTGCAGTATCTTCTTTCCAAAAAATTCTTTTCGTTTTCGGTGAATTTCCCATTTCGAATAACGAATGCTACAAAGGAAACTTTGGAACTACTTTGATCCGTTATACCTGGATATAATAGAGCTAGCACTGGGTATCATAAGAAAACAAGCCAAATCCATGGTAATCGCGGCTACAATTACAGTGGACAGGGTGTTGCTACCAATAGAATCCAGTTGATCGATGTAGAACGAGTAGGTCTGAAATAAAATAAATTTGCCGTGGAGTCTAACACCTTGAAGATTACTGTATAAAGGCAGTGTCTAGGGAATATCTGGTACTTAATTCCTTAATAAAATTAGTTAGGAGGTCTTAAGTAAGCCATTGCCCAGCAGCTCTTTAGATTCATTCAAGGCTGTATTCGAATCTAGTCTCTCCCTCAGCACCATATTCAAGAGTGCTGATTGTTCCGCTCGAGGAAGGTACGGTACTGGGCGAAAGTTTAGATCTGAAGTTCTCGACCGCGGATGAGTCAAATGAGCTGCCGCTTGGTTACTGGCTCAAACATATTTACCTAGTAAGTTTTCGCACAAACTCAGATACCCGAATCTGATAAAGAACATACCTGGAATATTGTCACATTGTATTCGCTGTTGCGTTTTGCTGCTTCTCGCCAGCTATGCTGCAATCTAGCTCTAGTATTCCAGCTAGCTTGTTCACCCATCGCAGACGCTGTAGCGAACATAAACCTGCGAAAATGAGAAAACTTTATTTTCTTAGGCGCCATTTGGCTATCAGGGCCCCAAAATTTTTCGCGGATTATGCTTAGTCTTGTTCCAGGAAGGATGGCGAAATGGGTATTATATCCGTGACTGCACACAGCTAACATCCATAGATAAAGATTGAGCAAAACCCACAACAAAAAATTTTGGGACCCGTGTAACCAAGTAGCGCCGGACATCATATAGAAAACAATAGAATCCCTTACTTTTCCAGTCCTATCACCGCTCCATTTACATCCCGCTTCAACCGTATCATGTCATTCCATCTCGAACCTCCATTTTCTTGGTCCTACAACAGACAACAAGTGGTAAAATAAATGGAACACTAATATAGAGACCTGGAGCCACGAATCCAATAAAGGATAGAATTCTTCCTTCGATGGATATAACGAGGATTGGTGAAGGAATGATCGCAACCAAAATGATGTTGAATTTTTGCCCATTGAAAATGGCAAACTCTCGAAGTCTCCTACAAGTCCGAGCATTCGCCGTTGATTGTCTTCTTTTGAAAGATCCGGAGGATTGTTCACGAAGACTAAAACCTAAAGAAGGTTGGATTTAGAAAACTCAAAATAGTTCACGAAATGGCTTTAAAGGCAGCAGGGGTCGGTTAAGACAAGCGAGAGCCCATATGAGTCATTGGTTGCAGAGGTATTCAACTCTCAAGCTTATCCCTGACCGTACACATTTCGAGCGAACCAGTCAGCAGCATCGAGTAAAAAGTACGGTGAGTACGTTTGAATTACTCGGTCGCGATTGAACGGTATGGTCTAATACTTGGATAATAGCTTAAGGCCTCATAGTTTTGCCTTGCTGGTGTGAAATATTTTTGATGTCTAGCCGACTCACAAGTTGTCCTTCCTTCCAAAGAATGTTCTCGTAAACATAAGCGATGTTGTGCAGTGGACTGTCACGCATGACTAGATTTGTTGTATCCATACGAATCTCCATTTTCATGCAGCCGTAGATAGAAGCGGTCCAGTATAAAATAAGAATGAAAAGCAGGCCAAGGCGAACCTAAACGCAGGAATGGCAACTTATAATGGTTACAGCTGATGAGTACCTGCCACAATTTCAAGATTCTGCAATACTTGGCTACGATTCCGTCAGGGTCTGCCGGATAAAGCGATCGTACTGATAGCTGTGCTGTTACCTAGAAGAATGTTAGTAGGATCAATATGTCATGAACCCGTGCATGTTTTGGAATGAAGATTAGATATCACTCTCTAGACATTATGAAGAGATTTGAGAGTGAAGAAATTTTTATTGAAATGACCAGCATTTTGTAGAATAATTCGAAACTAGCCTTTCGTAAGCTTTCAGTTGAGGTGAAATCCATAAAACACTGAACAAAAAAGTATGACTTACTATCTGCTTCGTTTTGATGGCGGTTTCGATGGGTGGCTTTTCCGGATTCGTAATCCGCATTTCCTCATACACCAAAGCAGCGACGAAGAAAGTCAGCTTAACGTAGATAACTGATCTCCGACTGGTGAAAAAACGTTGAAAGAATCTCTCACCTGGTAGACAAAATCAATCGCTACGCCAACACATGTGTAGAGACAAAATAACGAGATGGCTGGGGTAGGAGTGAGAATACCTATGCCAAAGGATAGAATGTTGGTGACGGATGTTACGGTAATAGAGGGGCCTGCTTCTTCCATCGTTTCGGCTGGAAAGTAGATGATACTGATAATAATAATGATAAGTGTCCACTGCAGTAATCTTCCTGTTCAGTTACATTATAAATTTACCCAGGTAGAGCATTCATTCTAGAAAGGAAAAGAGGCATTTTATACGCAACAGCCGCTTCGAAGATTCTAGTCAAACTTAATTTAGTTTCATTTACAAAAATGCTAGTGGTTGGCTCATAATCTCGATCGCTTGGGCGGCTTCTACTATGGAAACATTTTTGTCCAGTGTTTGGTATTTCTGGAAAGAGCACTTCGGTGAGAATTGAATTGTAAACCTTGTATGAGTAGGATTTATCTCCCTATAATAAGGCGCAAAAAGTGAGAAAGCCTAATGTTTTTATTGTGCGCAAATGTGAGAAAATTTCTTTTAGTCAAAGAACTATGAAATCGCAGATCACAAATTTTATTGTTTTTTTTTGTGGTAGAAGAACCTTGGATGTAGCCAAATACCAAAATACTTAACCTTTATCCATCACAGAATGAAAATGGGGCTTAGAAATTCAAAAAAAAAAAGAATTTTTGAAGTCTGGCCTTATTGAGGCATATTTGTCCTCTACTAAATGCAAAAAAATTCCGAGTAGTTGATATGTGATAGTAAAAGTCTTGGCTATCCAGCCCCCCTCACGAAATCCTAGTTGAATGGCAACAGGAAAATCTTTTATGGAGATTTCCATGGAAAAAGAAGTCATTTGACCAATTTTACAACCTGAGATCTGTTCAAACCAGTAAGTTTCAAGATACCCAATAAATAAAGCATACAAGACCAACAACTTTTGCAATAGTTATCAAAGAAGAACTGAAAAAACCTGCCTATCTGATCTTCCAGTGGTCGTCGTTTGTCCGTTTTACGCATGGCATGAATGATAATAAAAACATCGTCAGAGCCAACGCCAATGATTAGAAAAGGCATAACGAGTGTGATGGAATTGAATGGCACTCCCAGAAGAAAAAGCAGGGAGAACCTGAGCTACGGAATTAATGTTATCGTTTAAGGACCGCTTAAGCTTAACACCGACGTGGTGCCCACTGCCATCAGCGGTCCGGCTACTCCTAGAAAAGCCATAAAGACGGAATGTCCCAGTCGAAAATGTTCACGACGATTAGTGACCAGAATAAAAACGTAGACGAGAGCGACGGAGATTGCAAAGTACGGTATGCATAGCATTCCATTTTTGCGAACCTGAGTGAATAAATACGGATATGGTGACCCTGCAGATTCAGAGCGTATGATACTTACCTCCCTCGCAATTAATGCATCACTATTGCATGATATATTAAGGAAAGGATGTTGGAAGTGTTCCACATAATCAAAAATACTCGTTTCCCACCTAAAATATGATTCATGACAAACAGTGGTGAAAAAGGGGTTTTGGAGGAGTTTCCAAGAGGATACTGCTTTTAGAAACCAAGGATAGTCGTCCGGGACAAATGAAATTCTGAGGGCTGTAACTAAGTAATCATAAGAATAGAAAGGAGAACATGTGCTTGAGGATCAACGATATATCAGGTTGGCACATAAGTTTTGCAACTTAATTCGTAACTTTTCTCTTTTTTATTGTGACGCATTCATTTTTGGGCATATTGTAGAATGGATAGTAGGCTACAAATACAGATGAACGCTTGAGTTTTGATAGCGAACTGGAAAAATTTTACGCATTTTTTGAAAGCTGGTAAGACTCGAAAAAAAGGCTTGGAAAAGCGGTTGCCGAATCTGTACCCAGACTGTTGTTAGAAAACGATCGTTACAGTTTCGGCTTGATCATGATTGAGATTGATTTCCAATCCTTGAAATTTCGAATTTGACCAGCTTTCGAAAAATGCTAAGTTTTCTCCGCTTCGCTACCAAAAATTAAACTGTTTGCACAGACTTGTAGCCTACTACCTAATCTACATCATGCTCAGAATTGAGTGCGTCACAGTCAAAACGGAAAGTTACGAAATGAGTTGCAAAACTTATGTGCCAACCTACTAGAATTGTGCTCGAATGAAATCAACTGAAATAAAGACAGAGAAGAGAAAGTAGCGAAAATTCCATGGATGAAGTGACGATGAGGTCAGTAACTTTACGATGAATGAATGCAAATTAAATGCAGTTCTGCAGAATACAATACCGCTCACATTTTTTGAAAAAAAGACGCGAATGTATGGACATGTATGGACATGTATGGACATGTCCGTACATGTATGGACATGTCCGTACATGTCCATACATGTCCATACATTCGCGTCTTTTTTTCAAAAAATGTGAGCGGTATTGTACAAGTACAAAAGTTAATGAAAATAACAATTTAGGCGGAAAAAATCATCAGAAGAAGATAAGTGATTTGAAGTTCGCACAGTTACGATTACGGTAAAGACTCCTCTTTTCGTCAGCAATGACATTTTATCTATGTAAAAAATGGATAGAGAGTCTTCACTTGGAAGCTTCCAGAGATGAAGACGCTTCTTAGAGTTGATGAATAAAACGAAGCTTCTCATAAAAAGAAGTCTAATGAGTTTGGTTCAGATGATTCGAGTACAAAAAGCCTGTTCGTCCACAAACTGGGAATGTTATGATTTTAATCCAGTGAGCTAATGAAGAATACAGTAAACAGAGAAGAGAAGATGAAGTAATGAATCTTAGAGGCAATGAAGTACCAAATGATGGTGTATTTAATGAAACGAAAAAACTAAAGAGGTATTTTTTTTATCGATTCCGAACCACTCACCGTTGTAGACTGAAAGCAACCTGTTCGTTCTGTCTATCTGTTCGGAAATACAATACGACAACTTTCACAGATGATATTCTGAAGACAAAAAGCTTAATCAAGCAAGGAAAAAGAGTCTGCTTCAAGACCCACACGTTTGTATTGGTGTCGATTTCTACTCCACCAAAGTGTTCACCAACATAGTACTCATCATTGTACAAGTGCATGGTGGGAAAGGTGAGACGAAAATTTGGATGTAGCCTCGATGAAGCATTGCGGTAGATAAGGTTGAATAGCGGTATGACCTAAACGAAATGAACACCCGTGCCTTCGTATTCTGCTAGTGCTTCTCAAAGACTAGCTACTTTCAGTTTGAAAGCTCGAAAATAAAAATTAGGTAGAAAAGAACAGAAATAAATATAGAAAAGTCTGCACTTAGATTTAGTCAATATTTTCTAGTCAGCAGCACTTACGATTTTTACATTTAAAAAAAATAAGCAGCTGTAAAAGCTTCAAACATTGTAGCCCACCTGGTTTTCTCCACAACTACTTCCTGAGCACAACTGCGCAAAAGAGCAGCGTGTCCTCTCATCTACATAGCAGTCAGTAGTGAAATTGTACTGAAAAATTTTTTGTACTCTCAAGCATTCACCAATTACTTTCACTTTGTTTACCTGCAGAAAGTTTGAGAGAGACTCAACTTCATCAAAGTAGTTCCTCCTCAAAAGATTGCCCATGTCTCTCGCTGTGATGGTCACCTGAGATGAAAGGTAAAGCCTCAAGTATACATAACAGCATGCAAACCGTGGAAAACGAATTGTCTCTAAAGGAACGAATGAAAAAATTCGAAAGCATGAACCCATATTCTAAAGAATAGCGGAATCATATTCTTTTTTGATCATTTCAAGTCTAAATGGGAGACACCAAAAGTGAAAATCATCTTGATAAAACGACTTTGACATCAGAGCTTCTCCCATTTGACGAGAGTGAAATTGCTAGTACTTTGGGGAATGCTGTGCTTTTTGTAAGTGCTGAAACCAGCCATTTGATCTTGGGAATTTAATTTAATCTAGATAGGATAGAATTTTCTCAGGTTCTTTTTTAGGAGCCACCTAGAAATCGTTTTTTAAAATTCCCATGAGTTGCATACCGAAATCCCTTCTAAAGCTTGAACTTGCGCACTATGACAGAAAAACAAACATTTTTTTTCTCAAGAAATTTTCTCTCTTTTGATTGTTCATACTTCTCAGACCAGAATACTGTTTTCAAGAACGGTCCGAAATGGCTGGTATCCTTCTTTCCTGAAAGCACCATTTTTTTGTGATCCCTTTCTCGTTTTTCAATTCTCTTTTGCGAAGAAAAGGTCAAAACCCAAAATATGTGCCCAATTTAGTGCCCATTTTAGAACATTCAAAATAGTGTTGTACACGTGGCGAGATGGCCGAGCGGTCTAAGGCGCTGGTTTAAGGCACCAGTCTCTTCGGAGGCGTGGGTTCGAATCCCACTCTCGTCAACGCTTTTGCAAGCGGTTGCTTAAAATCATATATGCGCGGGCTACACGATTGATACACTGAGAGGTATTGGCCAGGGTCAAGCGTGGGGTGCGGCACGCCACACCTGGGGGGTCGTATTGAGAAGTCAAAAGGGGAGTGGGTCGTAGTTGGGTGATCTGATAATAGCGATAACATGATATTTGTATCATATCCATAATTAGCATGTCAATTAACCCCTGTAAACAAAGTGTGAGCGAATTCTGAAAATTCAAGATACTAGGCTACCTAAATGAAATGGTCAAATTCCAACATGGTTAACTTTGTTTCAAAGGTGAATTAGCTATCCGTTTTTGCAAGGCAAAGCACTACTCCTTCTTTGTCCACCTCAGGAATCCCGCTTCAGAAGACCTGCAAACTGTGGAATCAGAAGCCAACCAAAATCTCGTTTTTCCTATTTTTCGCTTTTGATCGCTGTGCTTTCACCAAATATTACTTAGAGCTAAGAAGACAAATCAGGCTCCAAACAGTCCTATGGAATCTAAAAGGTTTGGGCTGTCGATTCATATAAATACTGTCCGCTAAAAATGTTTTTTTGATATAGTTGATGGGGTGCGGCACAACCCCTTAACTTGCCTTCAAAATCCAGAAAGCGCTCCACTGCTGGTATGATTATCAAGCACATAGCTTCTTCTTCCTACATTGGAAATTTGGAGCCGAACGCCCCACCCATAAGAAAATTACGGCCCTTTCAATATGCCCATTCAGATCAAAATCAGCCGTCAAATTACGCGTGATTGTAAAGTGCAGTCACAGAAAATCGGGCGTACAGCTCTCAGAAATCTGAAAACTCTCTAGAAAAAGATGGTGTCCTCCAGAATGTCACACTTTGAGGTCCAGAGGTTAAGAGGAGGAAGAAGGGTTCGTTTGAGGGCTTTCATGGAGGGGTGGGGTTTCGAAAGACTTGTGCCTGATTTCTTTCTCCACTCTGGTAATGCCATCTTAGGTATATAGTTCAGGGGGGTCTTATTAAGACAGCAATCAGGGCGGGGGATGGAGGGTCGTAACCAGCGATCGTGTGCCACACCCCTTGCTTGACCCTGGCTGTTTCCCAATCTTCTATCCTGGAAGCACTGGTTATTCCTTTTTCTGTGATCCCTTTCAAGATTTTCATTTTTCAGCTGCCAAGAAAAGGTCAGAATCAAAAACTAGTGTTTTATTGTTGAAGGTGCGGCGAGATGGCCGAGCGGTCCAAGGCGCTGGTTTAAGGCACCAGTCTCTTCGGAGGCGTGGGTTCGAATCCCACTCTCGTCAATGCTTTTGCAAGCGGCTGCTTAAAACCTCGATATGCGGGCTACATGATTGAAACAGTGATAGATACTGGCTCTTTTTAAGACATAGAAGAGAACTTTACTTGGGGATAGGGGAGAGTGGCATTCGTATGATGACAATTCATCATACTTGGGATCTCTCAAGAAATTAAGCTATGCTGTCCTACCAAGCATTTTCCAGATTTTGCTTAAGCAGAAAATTTTAAAGGGAAAGCTAAATGTGAGATTTAGCGCGAATCTATAATCCATAAAACAATTATTAAACCATAACCTTCAGCTAAAGCAAGTTTTTCCCACCACACTTTTCCCAAAAGTGATTTCTTTGTAGATCTTAGCTATAGTGTGTTCCCTAATTGAACAAACAAAGCTATCAAGCTTATCCAGCTTGTTCAAACATCTACTATCGCAAGATTAAGCGCTTCTTTACGAAGTCTTGCTAGTTTAGCCGCTACGAGATCAGGTTATATGATTCATTCTTTTGGCTATCCTGATAAAAATCGAGTGCGCAGTCGGCTTGCGATCTAGCAATGTGGAGAACAAGATAGCTAGGACAGGAAAAGAAATGGGAATCAATGAATGCGAAAAAGAACAATTTTAATCTAGAGACCGGGCACTTGGGCACTAGTGGACTGGTAATCAGACCTGGTAATCAGATCATACCAAATTGAGCATTATTTTCTGGAAGCAATCGTCGAGCCCTGACTGTTCGATCAAATGATATTTCGAAATTTGCAATTCGAAAAGAAATCGGGAAAAACAGTCTAAATTCTGGCGCCTTGTCTTTGTTCGATAGTTTTATAAATCTGCCGACTGCGCAATCCAATCGTTCCTCAATAATTTCTATAAATCCTATAGTTCTCTAGACAATCAAGTTTTATTCCTTTGTAGTTCTTTTTCGGTTCTCGTAATCACCCCGAACTAGCATAGAGACGAGTTTTCACTTGATACTTGATTGGCCGTCCTGCGTTCGTATCATATCGGGTAAGAGTTTGGGGGGGGGGGGGGAGGCGATATAACAATATTTGTATGTATTGTGCAAGGTAGATGGCGAAATTTTCTAGCGAATTTCATAAGCAAAACGGTTAGAACAAAGAAAACCTGTTGAAACTAAAAAAATCACCACTTAGTTAAATTGTTTCCAAAAGTTTTCAGGGAGGTAAAAAACCTGAACAATATGTCAAAAACGCCAAGAAAAAAAAATACAAAAATCGAAAGCTGCAATCATGTCGCAAAAACACCAAGAAAAGGTGAAACGATTTAGAAAAATATAAAGATATAGAAATTATAATCTCCAAAAAAAACAAGATATTTTCATTGCAGGGAAATAGACATACTTACAAAAAATCCAACTTTTGTACGGTGAAAATCAATGATAAAAATTTTGTAAAATCTATATTGCCATCGAGAGTAGTTAATAATCAAAAAATTTACCTCTAGCCAAAATTTTCCTCCTCTATCATTGAAGAACTCGTTTGCAACGGCATGTTCGTAGTGTGAGTCTGCTCCAGAAGGACTAAAGATTGAAGCAGATTATCCGATTTATAACTTTTTATTTTTCACTGGTTTGTTATTGCTAGGTCAATATAAAAATTTATGTCGCAGCAAGTTTGGAAAAATGTTTTGTTCTTAAATTGATTTGCTTCGCATAGATTTTTAAGCAGAAGCTTTTTTGATGGCCAATCGGTATTCTAAAAGAAGGTATTGGATGGGACCAAAAGAAAAGGGACCAATCAGCTATTTCAATTTTTGGACCACGCCGGTACATCAATAAATACGAAAACTATGAATTTTGGAAAATACGAGGCATGAAATTAGTGCCATACTAAGAATTTTTATTGACTTTGTTACAGATCCTCCGGTAAAACACTCCTACTATAATAGAAAAAGCTCACCTGTACAAATACCATATCCGATTTTCCTCATGAAACCTCAACAACCCGACTGCGCTGAATATCGTGAGGCATACGGGGATCCAAAAAAATGGAGCTGGATGCCTAAAAATCATACTTTTTCATGCCATTTCTCTTGAATGTCCCCGACAAAGGAATTGAATGTGTGATATCAACATTATGCAATACAAACGAGCTTGCTGGCCAGCCAACGGCTGAATCCGGTTTGGCGCCAAAAGAGCGCATCCAGCATTTTCGTGTAAATCTTTCCCAAACATTGTTTTTGCGAACCAAATCATTCGATACGTAAAAGAAACACTGGGATTTGATTGAGCGAATTTAGCTTGGGACGTTTGGAAAAAGCTCGTCTAAAGCGCCTAACGCAGGTGCTAGTAGAAATCTTCAAAATTAATTCGAGAACTACGATGGAAATAATAGAGACTGCACTAACGTATAAATGCCAAGATTACGCCACCAGCAAATTTTGGAATGTTCAGGTACAATTTATCCTTATTTCAGACTAATTTGAGAAGAATGCGCCATGATACAATTATTAATGTAGCTTAATAGTCTTAATTAGAAATAGAAAAAAGCAATAATTATATAGCACTAGATCTGCACAAGGTTCAGCGTAAAAAACAATACCTTTGCTCAATGCATGGCTTTTTATTGAGAATATAGCCAAAAAGGAGACTATTATGTTGTAGATGCTATGGTATACATAATCATCTACCCTATATATCTAGATGAACCTTTTTTGTGTTCTTGCAATAAAAGGGTAGAAAAAGTGTTATTTTCTAAATTAAACTTTGCACGAATATACAGGAGGGAGGGGCAATTATAAGTTATTTCTGGAGAATTACTGGTTAACTTATTGGAACATTGATTTTTTGCCTTTTTTCAATGTTCACGACCGGTCTACTGATAGCAAGAATGAAGATTACTGCATAAAATTCGCATAAGTAAACATTGCGCGAAGCGGATGTCATAAAGGCGCTTTGCCAAAGATAATTCTGCACCCTGGAGG